TCTGTCTCCATGGCAAATTCTTGACCGGATATCGAGGCTGCAGTCACCATTTTCATGTCTTCCAGGATCTCGAAACTATTCACCTCTGCAATTCGTCCTCCATTGAAGACAAGATGCGATGGCGCAACATCTGTATCACCAGCAGTACAGGTTCTAATATGCATGTTTGTGGTTTAGCGTATCATTATTACCTTCCATCTGGAAATGGACGGTCACTATTATAAATGTGTGTCCCTAGTGATGTTTTGGCTCGGGGAGCACTACATAGTGCAGTGCTATCGGAGCAGAAAATGAATTTCATTAGCCCACTCAAGCTCAACTGATGAGGGGAAAATTCCCCGAAAAACGGTGTGTTTTAAAATGGTGCTTTTTTGCAAGTTCGCGAATTGGAGGGTTCTACGGGCTTCTCGTGTGCTCCGGATGCATTCGTGAGTCAGTCAAGCACGAATCAGGAACTCCGACGTTTGGAGCCGACACTTTCTTAGCCTATTATCGCTGAAGTCGCAATATCTTAGTTCGTACTGTTGTCCCTCGCGCGGAGATGCGACTAGACTAGATGGTTGGACGCGGCATCATTGCGAATGGTAAATGGCACTCAGCGTCTGTTCTCACACCGGCATGCACGCTGCTGCCTGATGCTCACGAGGTGTTTATCGCCTTGGAAACCGAGTATCACTGTACATGTAAGTTGGTATCCCTAGTGATATTTTGGCTCGGAGAGCGCTACATAATGCAGTGCTCTCGGAGCAGAAATTTCCTCAGCCTACTCAAGCTCTACCAATGAGGGGTGAATTCCCCGAAACACTGTGTATTGACTCGAGGAGGGAGTGGTGCTGTGTTGCAGGTTTACCGAGTGGAAGGTTCCATGGACTTCTCGTGTGCTCTGGGCGGCAGTCGTGAGTCAGTCAAGTCAGTCGGCAGGAAGTGTGAGCTACGACGTTTGGAGCAGACACGTTCTTCACCAATTGTTGGTGAAGTCGCTACTTGTTGGCTATTAATCACTTAGTAGCTTCCCCTTTTGGATTATTTCAGTGTACTCGTAGTCCCGGACCCTTCCAGGCTGGAAGACCGTCGGCAAAATTCCTATGATATTAACACAGTTCGCACCTCTCAGGGAAGGATCCACGGTCTAAACGCACCTGTCAATGAAATCCAGCCGGAAGACCCACCAAAAGTCACCTCCATAACTGTTAGCAGCAGGGGTAGGAAAACCGGATATTTTGCGAGGGTTGGCGCTATAGTACACACCGTATGCCTTGCTACTACCGGTTATCCGGTGCATGTATCTGTCAGTTTCGTGATAAGATTATGCAGTTTCTGACTGCCAAAATCTGCTGCACTTGGTGGAGATTGTTCCGTATCGTGTGCCCCATTTGTCTCCCATTGTCTCTACATTAGTATGATTACTCTTTGACTTTAGTTCAGCAATAAATTTCGCGATGATCGAATTGCCACTGACCAGCAGACACAGGACATCGGCCACATCAGGTGTTTGACAACGCATTATCATTATGCACCCAGGCATACTTTGAAGTAAAGACCAATGTATGACTGTATGACTGTATGACTGTATGACTGTATGAATGTATGGAGCATCATAACTGTAGTGTATCTGCGAGATGGGCTTCAACTATTGAAGTCAGTTCCAATTGCACCGTAGACCGTAGTGTAGGACAGGTCTGACTGTCAGATTGAACATGATCTGATGTCTACACTGTCATCATCCAGCTACCTGCCAACTAACTCAGATTCCTGCCTGAGACCCGTGAGCATAGGTTCTCGTAAGGGGTGGTGCATATCTTGCTGCTGGATGCTGCCATCCTTTTGTCAAGTTTTGACAGCGCACTGCATTTCACCAATGCTGCTGCATCTCAATTCCAGCGCCATGCAAAATTCCTTGCAAATGCTGTCTCGATGGCAGCAAGGCGTAATGCCGTGTTCACCGAGTCATTGTATTGCCACCATCATCTGATCCTTGACAAGCTTCACAGTTGTCAGATAGGCAGAGAAGGTCCTTCTCATTCGAGTGCCAGGAGGGTCATGTCCACAGAACATACGGACGGCCATCGGTTACACTATGTTGCCAGGGTTACCTGAATAATGGTTACCTTGTCCTAGCCGGGAACATGATTGCGTACAGGTACAGAGTATGTGGCCCTTGCCTTGGCCTGAGCATTAGTAATACAAGCTTTACCAAGTGGAATGTTCCCCCACAAAACTGCGGGAGCTCGCGTGCACACTACCTTTCACTTTTCAGTGTTCTGTATGCCATGGTATGCAGGGTGGGCCTATTTTGTACATGCCGCTATGCTCAGGGCAGGCGATGCCGATGGGTGTTGTTTTGGGTGCACAGTTTCAGACCTACACTAGTACTACAGCATGCTGCAGGTTTGCGGGCAGGCAGGACTGAATGCGAGCCATGCGGTACAGAACTCACCTTCAAGGCTTCATGCATGCTGCCTGCATATTTTGGAATATTTTCGCCTCCGTTTCGGACCTATCCCGATGAGCGGTCTGTGGCGTTATCGTTGCTTCAATCATCTTTGGAAAGCTGAAATTCTGTCAGTTGCAAAGTATCTGAAGTAATTCCAATTTCATGCGGAAGAAGGTTCGTAGTAAAATCTTCGGGCCCAAATGGTCACAGCTGAATTATTTTGAGACCAGAAGTCACTCCAATGAGTGCGTAACGTTGTTGTGTTGAAATCCTAGGTTTGCTTCGTCGATTCGAGGCACTAACCTATCGACAATGGTAACCAGTTGTGGCGTCCCTACGCCCGATCTGGATTCTTTGATTGTGGACTCCTCGAGTCGAACCGGAACACCTTCACTGGCATCAGGTGGCGATGGAGTCCTGCCGAGGAAACGGTCGCGGCCTAGCGAGGCCAAGACGCAGAGTGGCGTGCAAGCGTCTTTACCTTCCGCGTCCGCCAGAAGCAGTCCGGTCCCTAACCGACCATGCTGCGTCTCTCTCATCGACTCGCCTGAAAATCACGACAGAAGGTTGGCACATCGACGAGCCGAGAATCAGGAACTGAAATCCTCGAGTGCGTCCTGCAGCCATCGGAGAAAAATGGCTCCTTCGTCGCTACGAAATTGGTTAATTCTGGGTGAGCATTTGCAACTTACTAGAACTTGCCCTGTTGCCCATCGACTGCAAACTGTATAGTCATGAACTAGTAGAAACTCTTTTCGTTTATTCATCATTGCTTTGTAGATTGGCTTCGAGATGTTATACAGCGCAAGATCTGAACCTCACATGCAGGTCCCATGCCCTCCCTGTGAACGGAATCCGGCCAATGGTCAAAGTATTAGTTGTGATATGGCAGACCCGACGAGCTACCAGAAACTGAGAAAGTGCCCATGATTACATTCCGGATGTTTTTTACACCTGCATGACCCAACAACCGGCAAACTACAGTGCTGCTCAATGAAATCCGATCCAGCGGTTCCATGCCCCGCCGCCAGGTGCTATGCAGCCCGAGACCTAGTAACACTCTGACTGGCATGGTGAACTGGGGGTGAAGGACGCCAATTTGAATCGTGTGTTCAGATTTCATTGAGCGATGCTGTAGCTGTTTAAGGTTTGTTAGACCTCTAAGAACGAATGACTGACTGCCTAGCGACTGTTTTCAGCCTTTCTAAAACTGTCTTTTCATGACATCCGGGCATTCATTTTTTCTGTGTTCGTCCCTAATAGGCATTCTCCTCGTATACCTTCACAACCTAAGTATGGTGTTAGCGCAGTCAACAGCTGCGCAAGCAACGATCACACCCTCATCACAGTCTTCTACTCCGCACTATTATCCTGTTGGAAGCGGTGCGGTCTTTCAGCAACCGAACGCTTTCGGTGCGGAAATACCGGAACTTGAGATCACGTTCCGTTACTGTGGACCCGATGGTGTTCTCATCTACCAAAAGGGTGCCGGGCAAGCATTTTGGACGCTTGGCTTCCTCAATAACTATCTAACGCTTCGTGTTCGACACCTGAACAGCGTGGCCATAGCGCAGGTGAGGGAAACACATCCGTGCACATGTACAATGTACTACAGTACTGGAGAAAGAAATCCAACCTCATGAATAAAATAGCGTTGCCGGGCACTACGCAGCCCTAGCACTACACATACTGCAGGTCTGTGCACTCCAGCCCTGGCACTACATACAGTGGTCTGTGCACTCGGACGCGGCGCTACTTTATTCATGAGGTTGGATTTCCCTGTCCAGCACTGTAGTATAGGGATGCGATGTGAAGTAGAAGCATGACGAGGGACGAGGGATCATGGGAGGGTTAAAGTAAAATACAAACTTAGTACACACTTAGTGTAATGTACCTTGAATGGCATGTGTGCTTGGAGAGCTTGACAGCAGAACGGGGTATCGATCAAATTTTCGAAGCTCATTTTTCAAATGTAAGATGTATTCTTCAAGTCAAGTCAAACATGCCTGTACTGATTCAGTGAGTTGAAACCAATTTCAAATTGTGTTGGTGCCTATGAAGAAAACAGGTACGTAGCTATGTAGGTAGTTTCGTAGGTATTTGCTTTTATTGGAATTTTCTGAGCCAAACATCAGCTGAATTCAGGAATGGATTAAAAAAAGAACGTTTGTACGGCATTGTATTATCAGTGTTCTTCGTAACGAGGTTTTGCTGTACAAGAATGATATCGTTGATGACACTTTGCTTTCTGTGTTCGAACATTTCAGGTTTTTACGTATCTTCAGCTTTCACCTGAAGCACTATACAAAATCCGAATCAGCAGCATTGGCGTAAGCAGACAGTTTCAAATACACGTCAATGACAGCCTGGTGAACGACACGGCAATGATACCATCATACGTGACCGATGTCGCTATATTCAATGGCTCCACGTCTATTGGAGGCTACGATGGTGATGTACCTTCACTGGTGAGCTGAAAGAATTATTTTTATTTAGGCTGTTGCCGAGAATTGAACTTTTCAAATTTGGACTTTACGGAGAATTTCAAAGTATTTAGGAAATTAGAGGCCACAGGCCACGTATTGCTGTTGCCGAGAATTGAACTATGTGGATAAATATAGCAGTAACATACACTGCACTAGGTGTTGGCTCTTTTTCACTGAGACTGGTAGCTGTTATGCACGAGCCAGGTTCCAGTATGCATTTCAACCCTGTACAAGTATGCTTTCCTTGTACTATCACAATGTAGAAGCCTCAACCTCAACTCGAACTTTTCGAATACAGTCTCTTCCCTGCAGCCTGGCTGAAATATACCCCCCCCCCCCCCCCCCTCACCACCACATTCACACTTTGGGAAAACAGTTAGCCTGATAATAGAGCATCACTTTCGCAAGGTCTATTACTGCGTATGATATTCCTTGCATGTCTGCGTGGCATACTCTTGTCATTCTGCAGGAGGAACCTTCTGGACTTTTGAAGGGCGCCGGTGCATGTATCGAGAGCATTCGCACACCCAGAGGTCTAGTCGACTTGAGCCAGGCCTCCACACAGAACGGCACCTCACCTCGGTGCCCAGTCCAGGGCAGAGTCTGCGCGGGGTTTTTAAAGCCTCGGTCCACCGCCACCTTCACGGATACCAGTGCCTACGTAGCTATATGGCGCCCGTTGCAAGGTGGAATCACCAAGAGAACGCGTGTAGAGTTGGAGATCAGCACTGGGTAAGTGACTTTATGCACAGAACACTCACTAGCTCTTGCTGATCTGTCTTTATGTTGTTTGAAATAATTTCCCATCAATGATCAACATGGTTTGGCAGGTCCCAATGGAATTTCATAAATTTTTCTGTTGTCTCTGGCAGCCCTCATGAACATTCAGAAAAAAGCATGTACGTCCTGCATTGTGTGACCAGTGCAAATCTTCATTGGCACATCTGAGGTCGGAAGGTGCAAAGGATAAGGACGTCAAATTGGCCAGGTTTCACCAAATTTGGACAGGTATGCCATGGCGAAATGTGTTGAGAAGCAAGTCCAAAATCCAATTGTTTTAGGTTTGGGGGTCTCTTGAGGATCATAAAAGATCCACACACATGATCACCTGCACTGTGTCGTTTAATCAAACTATTGTGTGAGGTGTCCAAAATTGCCGTACTAAACACAGTCTTCCAGCTGGCAAGACAGTCGGAAATCATTGAATCAAACCACCACTTTGGCTTGCAAGTCTAGTGTCTGGCTGCAAGTCTCCTCCCCCCCCCCCCCCCCCGGGGGCTCTGGAATGCAGTATAGGGTTTACCGGATGTTAGCGGCCGTCGTGAGTTTCCTTCAGGAACTGACACGATAATTTACTTATATTATAATTTTATGGAATGCAGAGCCTCTAGTGGACTGATATTCTTCAGCGGCAGCGTGACAAATGCCAAGGTGTTCATCGCGGCGTACGTCACTAGTGGCCGTGTCGCGCTGCAGACCTACTTCACACACTCCAGCATCGTCAGCTCCAGCGTGGTGGTGAACGATGGCGCGTTGCATCGTCTGGTCATCGAGCACTTTGCGGGTACGAAGCGAGTGGACCTGACGGTGGACGATATCACTATCTCCAATACGCCTGGAGGTGAGTAATCTTTGTTTTATTTTATTTTTTATTCACAACCACATGGCTCTAGCCAATGAAAAGGTGACGTAGGTGATAAGAGAGGGGAGAAAGAAAGAAAATGAAAGGGGAACTGAATGTAAGAGTTTGTCATGCGATCTCAACGTTTATCCATTTCCTGTGCTGAATTCAACCTGAGGAACAGAACACAATGCTCACAGCCCAGCCTAAATGCTGAATTTCAATTTTAAATGCTTCCGAAAATATCCACGACAAGACGAAACGCATACACCTTCACGTTACGGGCACCTTGGTCTACAGGGCACCATTTGGGTGAGTTTAGTGGAAGTATTACTAGTCAGTAGTCTTTTGCCAATGTTTGTGGAAATAGTGACTTCATATGGTAGATTTCAGGCTCTTCGCCATCAAAACGTACGTGATTCAGACTCAGGGTTATTTCCCAGTTACGGGAACTGCCCGGTCCTGGACATCGACCGGATAAGAGAGATAATTATGAGTGTGCCGTGTATAATTCAGTTACATTTTCTTGAATATTTAGAGCCTGCTACGCAGCAGCCAATTTATCATCTCTTTTTGACAATTCAAAGTTAGCGTATTGAAATTGCTGTGTGTAAGATCCCAGCAGTGATGGAGATGTGTTCTGATTTATTTTTATATTTTTTATATTTCTGCACCTCGTGGCATGTCAAGACAGCCAATTGAATTGAGGAGAGGGTGAGACCAACCACGGAAGAAGAGAAAAAAGAAAATGAAGAGCATGTGCACAAAGTGGGAAGGGATTAGCAACTTATAAAGCAATGGGATGCTCAGCGAGCTATGCAGCGGAAGTGGGGACTGTGACTTTGTTTACTGGGAGATACTGAAGTGCTGTCTGACGAGGGTACAGAATTTGGGCATATCTGGAGCTTGTCTAGATGATTCATTTGTACAACTTGTGAACTGGGTACAAATTACCTAAAGGAAAAAACTTGATGGTGAAAACATTAAATACAATGTTTGTATACCTGCATGGCCTGTATTTCTCCAGGAGCTCCACGAACCCAGCTGCACATCGAGAACCCGCTCTTCATCGGTGGCTTTGACGATCCGTCGCGTTACCCCGGCGTGGCTGTGGGGACATCTTTTCTGGGCTGCATCAGTGAAGTGAGAATCTCAGAGACCATTGGTGTTAGCCCGGCTCTGGTCAATCTCACAACCCATTCAAGCACTTCAAGGTAAGCCAGATACACTCATTTGCAGGCTACCGGCAGCATGTGGGTGCTCCACTGTTCGAAGAGTTCTAGTTCGTCAAGCCAGTATGCAAAGCACATGTATCCAGTAAGGAAAGGATAAATGTTGTAGGGACTCTGAGTTCTGCATGGTCGTGGCCTGACACAAGCAAACTTCCTAAGCTGATTCTGTTTCGTGGCACAATTGTATTGCCAGTGGTATTGCGTATGTCAGAACTTCACTTTTTACTCCGAATTTCGCATCGCTTTAACAAAAGTCTTTCTCTTCTTGCTGTGTGTACGTTTGCAATGATGGTGACCTCTGCTCATTGGTTTTAAAGGTCATGTCACCACTAAAACCCAGTATTAACCTGTTTTCTATTACTGTTAGCTATTTATGTGCTGTTCTAGACCAGTGCCTGCAGCTGTGATGTCTAATACAAACCTGTTGACTAGCACTGCACTGGTCTGTGATAGCTCTCACCCAATCTCATTCACAACAACAACAACAACAACAACAACAACAACAACAACAACAACAACAACAACAACAACAGCACCATGAGTAAGTCGTTCTACATGCAAGCTGTGTGTCGGTACGTTCCGCATCTGTACACCTTTGACTTGTTCTATGTGTGTTGTCTTTGCCATGTTCCATGCAGATCGGTGATCTTTGATCAGTGTCTACCGGAGCGGACGTGCAGTCCAGCCTGCACGGGGACTGGCATGGCCTGCAACTACACATGTGGGTGTACATCAGGGTATACCACTTTCACCATGCCCATACCGGGTGACAGCAGCTCTACAATCACAGTATGTATGGAGGATAACGAATGTTCCAGTAGCCCGTGCCAGCACCAGTCAACATGCACGGATGGTATCAACGGTTATATATGTACTTGTACACCTGGGTACACAGGGCCTGAGTGCCAGACGGAAATCAACGAGTGTCAGCCATCGCCGTGCAGCAATGGCGGCACGTGTACCGACATGGTGAACGCCTATGCGTGCACGTGTGCGCTGGGCTTTACGGGACGCGACTGCGAGACCAATGTGGACGATTGCGCCGACGGTAATGTGACATGCCTGCACGGCTCCACCTGCGTGGATGGCGTTGCATCATACTCGTGTTCCTGTGCACAGGGCTATACTGGCCTGAGCTGTGAGACGGACGTGAACGAATGTGCGTCGAGTCCGTGCGAGAACGGAGGCAACTGCCTGGACATGGTCAATGGGTACGCGTGCAATTGTACGGCAGACTTCCGTGGTGTGATGTGCTCGATCAACGTCGATGCGTGCGATTCGGATCCGTGCATGAACGGGGCTGCTTGCCGTGACCTGCCACTCGGGTTTCTATGCACATGTCTGCCTGGGTACACAGGTAGCAACTGCGAGACGGATATCGATGAATGTAAGAGCAGTCTGTGCATGCACGGAGCTACCTGTGTTGACCAGGTGAACGCGTACCGGTGCATCTGTGCAGATGGTTACACGGGGCAGTTCTGCGGGACGGACATAAACGAGTGTTTGTCTCATGACTGTCAGAATAATGCCACATGTGTGGACGCAGTCAACTCCTACAGGTGTGCATGTGCAGAAAGCTGGACTGGCAGTCGATGTCAAGTAGATGTGGACCAGTGCTACTCATCACCGTGTATCAATGGAGCCACTTGCGTCGACGGTCACAAGCAATTCTCCTGTCAGTGTGCGGCTGGATGGACGGGCGTAACATGCCAAGTTGAGATCAATGAATGTGAATCGCAGCCGTGCCGTAACAATGCAACGTGTGTGGATCAACTAGCGTCATACCAGTGCAGCTGCGCCCCGGGGTATACCGGCGTGGATTGCCAAACAAATGTTGACGAATGCGCGTCTGACCCGTGCCACCACCAGGGCACGTGTGTGGATGGGGTGAACTCGTTCACGTGTCGTTGCAATTCAGGTTTCCTGGGCCCACTGTGTGACGCAGATGTGGATGAATGTATCTACCTGTTGCCGTGTCGCAACGGTGCAACGTGCTCCAATCTACCGCTTGGCGGGTATCAGTGTCATTGTCAGGTCGGCTATACAGGTCCGGAGTGTCAGACGGAGCTCGTGGAGTGTGCGTCCGGTCCGTGCATGAACAATGCTACGTGTGCTGATTTGCTGGGAGGCTATCGGTGTATGTGTAGTGATGGCTGGACTGGTACGCACTGTGAGAGCAACATTGATGAATGCCAGAGCGCTCCCTGCAGCAATGCGGGAACCTGTGTGGACGGCGTCGGTATGTTCACGTGTACCTGTCCACACGGTTACACCGGTGCACGCTGTCAGACGAATATCAATGAATGTGCGTCCACGCCATGCCAACATGCCGGTCAGTGTGTGGACATGATCGATGGCTTCACTTGCCAGTGCTCTTTAGGCTATACAGGTGGGTGTCATCTTAGGCCTTTCTGTGTACATGTATCACAACTTAGTATATGGAATGGAGCAGCCACGCTACCTAGGATTTCAATCATGGCATCAGAGGAGGTCCAGTTATTGAACTATTCTATGCATCAGTGATCAACCCGATTTTATGTGGAATTTTAGTCTCATAATATCGCGCAGGGAGCTGTGAAAGTGGCCTTCTCAGCTCCCTGAACGATATCCGACTTTCAGCAATAGGCCTTTTTGCCACTTTGTATTGAAGAATTGTGTGGATGAGGTTTCAGCTGTGAATTCTGTGAAGTGTTGTGATGGGTTGCTTAGCTATTGCTGTTATTAAACTCTACATGTACCAGGAAAGGAGCTGTGGCTGTGTGTATTACGATGATAATCTTCAAGATCATAGAATTCATGAACAGTTTTGCAGTCAGGATACCACATACCAGGATAGAAAAATTGATATGATTGGGTATTTCACAATGATCATCATCCCGAGATGTCTGTGTGGAGTGCACATGCATAACAACCATCTTGGCCTAACCGTTTCTTACTCTCCACGCTGTGCTTTACAGGTGCCTTGTGTGAAACAGTCATAGACAACTGTGCTTCAACACCATGCAGTACTGCATACGGTACTTGTTCCAATATGGTGGGTGCCTATCAGTGTCACTGCCAGGCTGGATATACAGGTTAGTCACAACAGAGTACTGGCTACTGATTGTGTAACATTGCTTCTTGAACACCCATCAATGCCATGATTTGCAAAAGCAATAGGCTGGAAATGCATTGATTGGTTGTAGCTCTCAACATACCCAGCACCCCACCACCACCACCACCACCACTACCACCTCCAGCTGCTATGACAAGCTAAGTAATTTCAGGCCAAACATTTTTCTATGGTCGAACAGCTCTGCTGTAATACTGTTACATCAGTACTAAGGTGGAGGAGAAAGCTACTTCAAGTTCTTACTTCCAAGGAGTTGATATGTTTGAGTGTGCATTCTGTGTGTGTGTTTTCACATCTCTACAGGCACACACTGAGAGTGTAAGACCGATATCAAAGCAGTTCAATTTCTGTGTAGCGAGGTGTTGATGTGTGTGTGTGTCTATGCATTCTGTGTGTATGTTCTCATCTCGCTGCAGGCACACACTGTGAGACGGATATAGATGAATGTGCCTCGTCACCATGCTTGCACGGCGGTACGTGTGTGGACCTGATGAACCAGTACCGGTGCATGTGCCCGCGTGGCACCAGGGGAGAGCGCTGCCAGGCGGACGTGCGGGAGTGCCTGTCGGCGCCGTGCCAGAACAATGCCACGTGTGTGGAGCAAGTCGGTGGCTACAGGTGAGGCCAAACCAGAGTGTAGCTACACGAGCATTGATCATGTAACGAGATCCTCAGAAAAACAATGAGTGTGTTACGAATGCAGGTGAATCCTGATTTTGAACCACAAAATGACAGAAAAATCTTCTAATTATCCAGACTTTATGTATATGGTGTTCTGTATGGGGTTGAACACTTGTGTAAGCCGTTTGTCCTTTATCACTATTGCTCACATGCATGCTCTAAGAATTCCCAATAGGGTTTCTTCTTCGGAACAGGGGGTGAGTTTCCGTTGCTGTGTGCGGAGTAAGGACGAGTGTGTGCTATCCAGTGCTTATTCGCTGTGGATTTAAGTCTATATTGTGTATCTAGTGTTCATTCACCGTGGACTCATGTCTATAGTGTATCCAGTGTTCATCGGCCGTGTTCATGCCTGTATTGTGTGTATCCAGTGTTCATCCACCGTGTTTTTACCTGTATTGTGTGTATGCAGTACTCCTCCCCCATGGGTTTATGCCTGTGCTGTGCATCCAATGCTCATTCACTGTGGTATTATGCCTGTATTGTGCTTACCCAATGCTTACCCAATGCTTACCCAATGCTTACCCAATGCTCATCTGCCGTGGATTTATGCCTGTACTTTGCTTGCTTCAGGTGTGCTTGTCAGACCGGGTACTTTGGAGTGGCGTGCGCGGACGACTTTGACGAGTGCTCCAGTGACCCATGCCAGAACAATGCCACTTGCAGTCAGTATATTGGCGGTTTCAGCTGCGCTTGTCCTGCAGGTGTGACGGGCACGCGCTGCGAGATTGATGTGGATGAATGTACGTCGGGAATTGGACCGTGTGCTTCGCCCGGTACTGAAATGTGTGTGAACACGTACTCATCGTATGAGTGCAGTTGCAAGCCTGGTTTCACTGATGCCCTCTGCCGGACGGAGATTGATGAATGCGCCAGTGATCCGTGCGTGAACAATGCCACGTGCGCAGATCAAGTCGACGGGTTTACGTGCACCTGCGTCAGCGGCTGGACGAACACGACGTGCGACGTGGAAATCGACGAGTGTCAGTCCGCGCCGTGCCAGAACAATGGAAGCTGCGTTGAAATGTTTGATGGTTATGCGTGCTCGTGCCTACACGGGTACACCGGTAGTCACTGTGAGACGGATATTGATGAATGTGCTAGCATGCCGTGCCGGAACAATGCAACGTGTCATGATGATGTGGCCCTATACCAGTGCGAGTGCGTAGCCGGTTACTCCGGGCTAACTTGCCAGGAGAACATTGATGAATGTGCTAGCTGGCCATGCTCTGCTAACGGTACCTGCCAGGACTTGATCAATGGCTTCGTCTGCGCCTGCGATCGAGGCTACAACGGCACTCTGTGTGAGAATGACATCAATGAGTGTCACGCAATGCCGTGTGATTCTCGAGCGACGTGTATCAACACGGCTGGAGCGTTTGGTTGCGCATGCGCTCCCGGCACGACCGGTTCCCTATGCAGCATTGATATTGACGAATGCAGTTCAGAACCGTGCCGAGGGAACAGCACATGTCGGAACGGAGATAACATGTTCACGTGCCAGTGTCAGCCTGGCTGGACGGGTGTCCTGTGCGATGTTGAAATCAACGAATGTGCGTCGGATCCGTGCCTGCACGGCGCGACGTGTATAGACATGGTTGCAGGGTACGGGTGCATCTGTGCCACGGGATTCACCGGAGTCACGTGCCAGACCAATATTGATGACTGCATCCCGCAGCCTTGCCTGAACCGGGGCACCTGTGTTGACTTGGTGAATGACTATCAATGTAACTGTCCTGTGTATCTAACTGGAGCCGTGTGCCAGCTGGACATCAACGAGTGTGCACCGCAGCCCTGCAGAAACTCTGCAACGTGCGTGCAAACGCCGCTACCTATACCATTGGAAAATAGCAACGAGACAGCTGCGTTGACAGTGCCGCCGACGCCTGCTTCGGAGGCATCCACAACAATGCCGGTGTTCAATTCCAGCACGTGGTCTGGATACCAGTGCCAATGCGTGCCTGGTTTCACGGGTTCAACGTGTAATGTGAACATAGATGAATGCTCGTCCAGTCCATGTCAGAACAGTGCTACGTGTCTGGATCAGATCAACGGGTACTCATGCATGTGTGCGTCAGGCTACACCGGGACGCATTGTGAAGTGCAGTACCAGGCCAGCTTTCCCAGTGCACCCACCTACCTATTGTACAGCAACGGTGCCAAGGTGACCATGCTCAGCTGGGAGTTTGCTACTCTGTCCAGAGACGCGGTGATTCTCTATGCTGCCGGGGTGAGTATACACTGTATGCAGTGTCGGTCACCTGTACATGCTGCATGACTGAGACAGGTATGCAGCTGTGTCAATGCACTGATCAAGGGGGTAGCAGCCGGTCCGGCCGGTCCAGCTTTGGCCGGACCACTTTTTTGCCCGACCATGGCCAAAAGTGCCCAGAATGCAGGATGTTTCACCCTAATTTCAAATTGTTCCCTGGGGAGACCCCCGGCCCCCTCTGGCCGGGCCAACTCCAACGGCGGTGCTACGCGCCTGTTGATGATTTGTACAGATGTACGATTACACGGTGATGTTATGGGAGAGATTATGTGTGCGCCAGGTCCTTATATTGTACATGTCGGGTCCAAATATGGCATTAGTAAAACTTGGCGGCAAGCCGCGCTGAGTGAGACGTATATTATACTCTATTCTGTTCATAGCCATTTGATTGCTGCCATATTTAAAATATATATATTTTTCTATTGGCTGTACTCTGATTAGTATCGGCGCATAAAACAATTGATTCAGAGCCAGGGCTAAGTGCCGCCACTCTGCAAAATGATTTGATTGGCACTGTGTTTGTGTTTGTTATAATTTTTGCTTTGCTTCAGACTGCCAAGGTGCAAGGTCTGGCCGACCATCTGCTTGTCGAGCTTGTCAACGGCTCAGCCAGAGTCTCGATAGACACTTACCTGCAACCAAAGTCCACGACATTCAAGGGAAGCTTCCTGGCCGACGGTGCATTCCACCGAATAACCCTGGCACTGAGTGAGCAGCCGCAGCTAACCATCAGTATTGACAACGTCAACCAAACACTGACACCGCCGAGTGGGACATCTCTAGAGGTGAATGGACAGTATTATCTAGGCGGTGTTAAGACATGGACAGCCATCACCGAGTCACTGTTGCTTTCACGAAACGGACTCGTTGGCTGCATCGTCAACTTTGCAGTCAATGGCAAGGCGATCAGTTTAGACACACTGGCAACACCCAGTACCGCACCGCTTGGAATCGGCTGTACACGTGGACCAGCGTGCACCGCATCGACCTGTAGGAACGGTGGTACGTGTACCGAGACATGGTCATCCACAAGCTGCCAGTGCCCGGGGGGCCTCACAGGACAGCACTGTGAGGAGCTGGTGTCAGTGCATTTTGATGGTAAGCCAGCATTTTTTTAAATTTACTTATTTATTGCAACATCTCAAGGCACGGTGGAATTTGTGTAGACTGAACCATAACCTTTCACTAGCAGTCCTACTAGATATGGGGACGCAATATTGAAATCTCCAACCGAAATAGCTGGGCTGAGTCACTCACTAATCGAAGGTATTTGTTCTGGGTAGAAGGAGGTTTTCTTTTAAAGAACTCTCTAATTCCACTGCAGCGTTTTCTTGCACCTGTGAACAATTCCATTCCCCGTCCCATGAACAGGCTCTCGACTGCATAAAGGGAAGGAAAAAAGGATTGCCTGCATTCAGTGCCCTGATGATGCCCAAAGGGCGAAATATTGGCAATCCTTTTTCATTCGTTTTGTGCAGATGAAAGCCTGTGTGTTGGACGGGGAATGTAAGTGTTTACAAGTAGAAGGAAGGGGTTGTTTCATACTTTTCTCGAGGCCAGAGTCAATCCTTGTTGTGTTTCTGTGGTATGTGTCCGCTGTAGGGAACTCGGCACTGGTGCTTGACAGTGTGAGGAGCAGGATAACGTTTGATTTCACCACGCTGATGACAGATGGCCACATCATGTCACTGGTCTCCACTGTTTGGGTATGTTCATTCTAACATGAAAAACTTGGTGTGACAAATTGGCCACATTAGACTGTGTCTCTATTGCTAACATCTTGTCAGCTGCCAGATTGGCTCATCATGATACCTACATGCACTACTGATGAAGTTGGTGATCCTGGAGGAATCGCTGGAAAAGCAAAAGCTCTCACTTTAATAGGGAGCAAGCAACAATTCCAAGGCTTGTCTATAATACACTTCAGCCTTTGCACTACTTCTTACTCCATGTTGAATGTTGAGATCCCAGAGCATAATATCCGACACCTTTACCAATAACTGCCATGTATTTCTGGTCCACTCGTACTTCCCCGCAGGTCTAGCCAGTACAGGTAGTGATACTTTTGTTTTGTTTGTGTTGTTGTTGCAGGATAACTCTGCGTTCTCCGTGAGCATCGTCGGAGGTCGCATCCAACTCCTCTCTGTGAATACGTCAGGTGTTGCGGAGACAGCCACGCACACTGTTCGGGTGTCCGATGGAAACTGGCATACGGTGACGGTGGTGGAGTCGAAGGAGGGCATTGCAGTGTCGGTCGATTCCAGCAGTCAATGTGTTGGATCTACGTGTGTACTGCTCGGGCCAGCATTGGGCTTGCCGGAACTAGCTGTGTTTGGAAGCATTACAAACGTTTCACGTAGCTCAATCAGCACTGTACAGCCACGCCTGACATTCGGTGGCTGCATTCGAAACATCCTCATTAACACCACAGCACCAGTTGACCTTGGACTGGCTATATCAGGCTCAGCTGCTCTCTCGCAGGCACTCTCAGCGAATCAGCAATCGCTCAGAACTCCGTCATTGGGCTGCCCCAGGGAGAGTATGTGTGCATCACAGCCATGTGCTAATTCTGGTACCTGTGTGTCGACATGGCTGGGTTACGAGTGCCAGTGCACGGGTAACTACGCTGGAAGCCAGTGTCAGATAGGTACGTGACACTCTGTCTACCAATGGATGCTATACTGCATGTAATTCCTTGTATTGCAATGATCACACAGCAATGTCTCAACCAAGTTCTTTTCTTTTTTTTACCCAAGAGGGCATGAGCAGGGAAGCATAGGATGCTTTTTGTAACTACTCCATTTGGAGATAATACTGTCTTTTTCAAAAGAGAGTATTGAGCATGTAAAAAGAAAAATGATATTTTACTGACCTGATGTCCTTTCAACCTTTCTCTTTCTTCTTCTTAGCTTCGTCGCTAACATTCAATGGTCAGAGTAGCTATGTGATGTACAAGGTGACATTCGGACCTGCCACATTCGGCACCAGTGGGTCGTTTGAGTTCCGAACACGGAGTGGTGGCGGTCAACTGATGTACGCCAAAGGTCCGGCGTCCTCTTTTGGCGTGTTTGATTTCATTCTTATTGAAATGGTCAACGGCATGTTGCAGCTGAAGGCTACACTTGGTTCAGGTGAGTCGAGTTCTTTGAAGACTTGGATTTAAAAGCCTAGAGGGATTGTGTTAGGGCGATAGAGTCATCTGAACTTGGTAGAGTCGTCTGAACTCAGTAGAGCCATCTAGTAGACTCATCTGAATTTGGTAGAACCAAAGCAAAGGGATGTGTTTGCAGTGTAGAACACACTCGGGTCATATTTTACAGAATGCTGCTTTTAAATTTATGCATGTCGCCGCATCGTGAAGGGTGAAAATGCTTGTTTCACTTCCCTTGTGTATGTATATTTTGTGTGGACACTGCCACTGCCACCAACCACTGGCAAGCAGCCCAAGACCGACTTCTGCTGGAGCTACTGAGGTCAACACTGCTTCTATTTTGGCTCTTTCAGTTTAACTTTGTATCTTCGCTTGCATGGATGCAGCGAGTGGGATTCTCGGTCTTTGACCACTTTTGTGGTGGGTCTGATCTACTCACCTCCCACCACTTTAGAAACTGCACCTTGATCCATGAGGGTGGTGGCGTTCCTACGGATGCGGAAAACTAGATCTCACCAAGTCCCTCCGTGAACCATGAATTTTGTGGCTTGCTTGTCCACACAGGAATTGGCACAATAAAGTTGCAACAGGCAGTGAACGACGGCGCATGGCACCACCTGTACTGGAGCAGAAGCGGCAAGGTATTCAACATGACTCTGGACGGGCTTTATCGTGTTTCCGGTTCCACACCGGGTCCGTACAACGTCTTGCAGGTGATCCAGTCTGGAGTCACACTTGTTCACGTTGGCTCCCTGCCTCCGGGGTCTACAGATACAGGTAAGCATAGAGTATTCATACGTTAGCTGCTCTGGAAGTGAATGAGTGAAGAATAATGAAAGAATTGAATGAAGACAAGAACCACTGGAGCATGCGCTCTTCTAACCTAATGGGTGATTCTGATCAATCACTATAGCAAAGTAGCGCGAAGGACAACATATTGACTACTGTGTGAACATCTTAGCATGAGCACACCTGTTACATATACACATTCGAACTCTGATAAGCGGTGCCCCGGTGAGCAGAAAGAAAGTGTGTTTAGAATCCAATGCACTTCTTATCCGAATTATACTTACAAGTATCAGAGTATGCACTAAGTCAGTCCCACTGTACTTCAATGTATAGGCCAAGCTCCAGCTTATTGTAAAAGCAGAATGCATGGCGAAGGATATCAAGGCGTCGATAACCAACAGGTTCCCCTATAGTTAGTTTCTGAGCGAGTTTCTATGTTGTAGGACTATGCATGTACCTACAGAAATGTTGGTGTAGGAGCTAACTTCATGTTGATGGTGTGTACATGTATTTGTGCACAGATTTAGGATTTGAGGGTATCTACTCAGTGCATTAGCTGACTACATATTGACTTGTGGGTGTATGTGTGAGTATTATAATGTGTGTGTATACATGTGTGTGTGTGTATACATGTGTGTGTGCATGTATGTGTGTGTGCATGTATGTGTGTGTTTATGTTTGTCCATTGTACAGTTTTTGATTCCAACAGTCCGTATCGTGGATGTCTACGCTCGGTGACATTCGACGCGCTCAAAGCTCCGTTCTACGCCACGGTTGGCTATGGTGTAGTGCCCAGTCTTCTTAACACGGTCTCTGGCTGCCAGCCTAGCGACGTGTGTGCATCCAACCCATGCATGGGCAACTTCAGCACGTGCGTGGATCAGTTTGAGGCGTTTTCGTGCGTTTGTCAGCCCGGTAGGACTGGGAGCCTGTGCGAGATTGACGTTGATCTTTGCGCCGACGGGCCATGCGCTAATGGTGGTAGCTGTACTGAGGACCGCAGCGGACTCTCCATCACCTGCTCGTGTGTTCCTGGCTACACGGGTACAACATGTGAGACGAACATTGATGAATGTCTGCAGCAGCCGTGCATGAACAATGCAACGTGTACAGATCGTGTTAATGCCGTGATGTGTAGCTGTGCTGCTGGTTACACTGGGATGTTCTGTGATGTTAACGTTGATGAATGTCAGTCGGGACCATGCTTTGGCAATGCTACGTGCGTTGATGGCATCGCGTCCTTCAGCTGTGCCTGCCCAGCCTCGCACACCGGACGCCTGTGCCGGACGGACGTGGATTTCTGCGCGCCGCGTCCGTGCGCCAACCACTCGACCTGCCTGGACGGAGAGTTCACCTTTGCGTGTGCCTGCTCTCCAGGCTATACGGGGAGACTGTGCGACGGCAACGTAAACGAGTGTCTCGTGAACCCGTGCCTCAACAGTGGAACGTGCCTGGAAATCCTGCCGCACAATGACCTGGGCTCCGGATCTGGCTCTGGCGATAATATGATTGTCCACGCATCCAACTTCACCGGTGGACATACGTGTGCGTGTCTGGATGGGTTCGCTGGCCGGGACTGTGAGCGCGATGTGTGCGCCGAGCTTGCGTGCAGAAGCGGTGGAACGTGCGTGCGCGGCAGTCAGTCCGCGTTCTGCAGCTGCCCGATCGGTCACAACGGGACGAGCTGCGAGAATGATCTCTGCGCGTTGCTGAACTGCCAGAACCAGGCGGCGTGCGTGCCGAGCATGAATTCCGCCATGTGCCTATGTCCCAGCGGGTTCAACGGCAGCCGGTGTGAGCATGACCTGTGTTTGTTGGCTGCTTGTACAAACGGCGCAACGTGTGTCACAGGTGTGAACACTGCCTCGTGTTCATGCCTCCCGGGTTTCAGCGGCTCCAGTTGCCAGAATGACTTGTGCGCTATGCTTGCATGCAGCAACGGGGCTACATGTCAGACGGGCGCAGGCACGGCCGAATGCCTGTGCCCGCCGGGTGTCAACGGAACAAGCTGCGAAACTGACCTGTGCGCAGTGCTCAGCTGCGAGAACAACGGAACATGCGTACGTGATGTGCTCTCTGCCACGTGTAGCTGTCCCGCAGGCGTGAACGGAACACGGTGCGAGAATGATCTCTGCCAGCAGCTTGGCTGTAGAAATGGTGCTGCGTGCATTGCCGGAGTGAACTCTGCAGTGTGTGACTGCCTACCTGGATTCAATGGCACACAGTGCGAGAATGATCTCTGCCAGCAGCTGGGCTGCAGGAATGGTGCTGCGTGCATTACCGGCGTGAATTCTGCAGTATGTGACTGCCTGGCGGGATTCAATGGCACACAGTGCGAGAATGATCTCTGCCAGCAGCTGGGCTGCAGGAATGGTGCTGCGTGCATTACCGGCGTGAATTCTGCAGTGTGTGACTGTCTCCCGGGATTCAATGGCACACAATGCGAGAATGATCTCTGTCAGCAGCTGGGCTGTAGGAATGGTGCTGCGTGCACTACCGGCATGAACTCTGCAGTGTGTGACTGCCTACCTGGATTCAATGGGACACAGTGCGAGAATGATCTCTGCAGTCACTTAGCATGTCAGAATGCAGCAACATGTGTTACCGGTCTGAACTCTGCGCTGTGTCAGTGCGACTTGGGTTTCAACGGCTCTCGCTGCGAGAACAACCTGTGCGACCAACTGGGCTGTCAAAACGGAGCTACATGCGTACGTGGTCTGAACTCTGCGCAGTGTTTGTGCGCTGATGGTTATAATGGGTCACGGTGCGACAACGACCTGTGCGCAGAGCTCGCCTGTCAGAACGGTGCCCAGTGCTTAGCGGATATGGACACTGCGCAGTGCAATTGCTCTGCTGGTTATGACGGTTCGCGCTGCGAGAACGACCTCTGTGCTCAGCTCTCGTGCCAGAACGGCGCTACGTGCGTACGCGGTGCAAGCACAGCGCGTTGTCAGTGTCCGCTCGGTTTCAACGGCACACAGTGTGAGAGCGACCTGTGCCAGTTGCTTGCGTGTTCTTCTGCCGGCGGCATATGTGTCGCAGAGCAGGGCAGCGCATACTGTCAGTGTAGCACAGGCTACTATGGCGACAGCTGCCATGGCAACTTCTGCCAGGATTTGAACTGCTCGGCGACGAGCGCACGGTGCCTTGCCAACGCCTCAGCTGCGCTGTGCGATTGCGACCCAGGGCATGTCGGTGTTCAGTGCGAGACAGACCTCTGCCAGGAGTCACCGTGCCTGAACTCGGGTACGTGCATGCGCCTGGACGGTGCACACCTGTGCCAATGCTCACCGCGATACAACGGCAGTCAATGCGAGTATGACACGTGCTCAGCAGTGTCGTGCCTGAACGGAGGCACGTGCACAGAATCCACAACGGGAGTGGAGTGCATGTGCCGACGTGGTTACAATGGTTCTAGCTGCGAGCAAGACTTGTGTGACATTCTCAACTGTGTTCCTCATCAAAGTTTCTGCCTGGAGGGTGAGCTGTGTGAGTGTTTCCCGGGCTTCTTCGGCGACCGCTGTGAGATCGACCTGCAGGACCTGTGCGATTGTCAGAACAATGCCACGTGCCTTACCGGAGTGGACGGTGGTAGCGGCTATGTCTGCAGCTGTCAGCAGGGCTATACGGGGGTGAGCTGCGAAACGTTCATCGACCATTGCACGGCCAGCAGCTGCAGTGGACACGGAGTGTGCATGAACGGTACACTGGGATTCTCGCATACGTGTAACTGCACTAGTGGCTATGCCGGCGGCGAGTGCGAGATTGAAATAAACGAGTGCACCACGGGAGTACACAACTGCAACCCGGTCTCGACTGCTCGTTGCGAGAACACTGCTGGATCATACCGGTGTGTCTGCAGCGCTGGATTCGAAGGTGACACGTGCGCTATCGACATCAACGAGTGTGATGTGCTGGATCCGTGCACTAACAGCGGAAACTGCACCGACCTAGTTGCAGACTATGCATGTCGATGTGGTGCCGCGTACACTGGCAGGAACTGCTCGGTGGAGATTAATGAGTGTGAGGTGGCCCCGTGTCAGAACAGTGCAACGTGTTTAGATCTTATTGGCCAGTACGAGTGCATGTGTTCAGCCGGATTCACTGGACTGCAGTGCGAAACAAACATAGAGGAATGTGCTTCGGAGCCGTGCGGGAACAACGGAACATGTACGGACGGTATCGACTCGTATTCATGTACTTGCACCGCTGCCTGGACTGGCATGCACTGTGATTCTGATGTGAATGAATGTGCGAGTGCAGACGACTCGTCAACCGATCTCTGCAACTTTGGAACGTGTAATAACTATGACGGTGGGTTTAACTGCTCGTGCATGACAGGGTACGAAGGTCCGCTCTGCAGTCGTGACGTGAATGAATGTGCAATGGAACCGCCAGTCTGTCAGAACAACTTCACGTGTGCGAACTCAGCCGGAGATTACATGTGTACGTGCGCTGCACCGTACAGTGGCAAGCACTGTGAGGTCTACACCGACCCGTGCTCGCTGACATCGTGCATGCGTAACGGCACGTGTACGCCCGTCGGTGCACGTGCAATTTGTACATGCCCAGTGGCGTTCACCGGAGAGCGATGCGAGACGTTCGTAGACCCGTGTGTTCGCGTGCCCTGCCGGAATGGCGCAACATGTACATCGTCTGAGGACACCGGCGATGCATTCCAGTGCTCGTGCAGCTTGGGATATACAGGAGAAACATGTCAGACTGACATCGATGCATGTCTGATGCAGCCCTGCTTCAACAATGCCACGTGCATCGATCAGCCTGGTGCCGGAGGTGTTGCGTGCAGCTGTGCAAGCGGATTCACTGGCGTCCTTTGTGATGATGTCATTGATGACTGTACGCCGGGCGTGTGCAGCAACGGTACCTGTATAGACCTGCACAATGACATACGCTGTGACTGCTTCATTGGCTATACTGGTCAGCGCTGTACTGTGGACATTGATGATTGTGCCAACATGCCATGTCTCAACAAGGGGCAGTGTACCGACGCAATCGACTCCTATTCATGTGCTTGTGCGGCTGGTTTTACTGGCTCGAACTGCGAGACCAACGTCAACGATTGCGGACATTCGCTGTGCGAGAACGGTGCCACGTGTGTGGACGGAGTGGCAAACTATACGTGCGAGTGTCCACGCTGCTTCTATGGATCTCACTGTGAATCGCAGTTGGATTTCCACACCTGCTATGGGTGTCAGTGTGCCAACGGTTCTACCTGCGTACCATCACCCACGTTCAACCAGTCTATGGGTAGTGGTGATGGTGCAACGGAGTGTCTCTGCTCGCCGGGCTACAACGGATCCAGATGTGAACTGGAGATCAATGAATGCCTGGCTGCGCCCTGTGCTGCGGACGCCACATGCGTTGACATGATCAATGCATTTGCCTGCCTGTGCGCCCAGGGTACGACCGGCGATCGCTGCCATACCGAAATAGACTACTGCACCCCAGAGCCGTGCGTAACGGGAAACTGCAGCTCGTCGCGGCAAGGCTTCGCGTGCCTGTGTCCGGCGGGACAAACTGGAAGCGTGTGTGAGACCGATATCAACGAATGTGCCAGCAACCCGTGCCATGAGTCCATGTGTGTCAACGGCAAAGACATGTTCATGTGCGTGTGTCCGGCTGGCATGACCGGGGTGCTGTGTGATGCGGAAATTGATGAGTGTATGTCATCGCCGTGTGGTGCACTCGGAAACTGTACGGATGGTGACAACGGCTACAGTTGTACGTGTATCGCAGGTATCACGGGTACTCACTGCCAGACTGACGTTGATGAATGCGCTACCGTGCCGTGCATGGGCAATTCAACGTGTCTTGATCAGCTGGACGGTTATCTGTGTATGTGCGAAACCGGCCTGACGGGATTACAATGCCAGAGTGACATCGACTACTGCCTTCCTGGACCGTGTCAGAACGAAGCGACGTGCGTGGATGGTCGCACTACATACACCTGTATGTGCCCTGTAGCTTTCACAGGGAGTCAGTGCCAGACGGATATTGACTACTGCGCTGGCGCGGGTTCCGGCAGCCTATGTCAGAATTCCGGAGTGTGTATAGACGGCGAGACAAACTACACCTGCAAGTGTGCGCTAGGATTCACCGGATCACGCTGTGAGATCAACATTGATGATTGTGTAAATGGCACGTCGGGAGCGAGCCTCTGCTTGAACAACGCGACCTGCACGGATCTAACGAGTGACTTCAGCTGTGCCTGCGAGCCTGGCTTCACCGGCTCAGTGTGTCAGACGGACATTGATGATTGCGTAGGCGTGATGTGCAGTAACAACGGCACTTGTGTCGACGGCACGGCCAAGTTCACCTGCTCGTGTGATACTGGCTTCCACGGTAGACTGTGCGAGGACAATCCTGACGATTGCCGGCCCGGCGTGTGTAACAACGGCACGTGCGTGGATGGCCTGGACGAGTTCTCCTGCACGTGCGCGCCAGGGTTTACGGGATCACGCTGTCAACACGACGTGGATGAATGTATGTCGCAACCGTGCGCCAGTAACAGCACCGACCGCTGCATCAACAACATCAACGCCTTCCGGTGTGCGTGCAGCGCCGGTTTCACGGGTTTGCTGTGCCAGACAAACATAAACGAGTGCTCCAGTGAGCCGTGTGTGAACAATTCTACGTGCACGGATCTGATTAATAGCTACACATGCCAATGTGCGCCCGGGTATACGGGTACCCACTGTGAGACAAACATCAATGAATGTGAGCCGATGCCATGCAACAACAATGGAACCTGCACGGACCAGGTCGATGGATTCAGGTGCAGCTGTGCCCCGGGGTACACTGGTGCGACGTGTGATCAAATACACGACTTGTGTGTGGCATTGACGCCGTGCCAGAACCAGGCAACGTGCGTGTTCTCTGCGCCGTCACGCGTTGACTGCATGTGTGCAGCGGGCTACACTGGACGGGAGTGCGAAACGAATTTCGACGAGTGCACCTCCAACCCATGCTTTCCTGGCAGCACCTGTGTCGACGGCATCGCCAACTTCACCTGTGGCTGCACGGCGGCGTACAGTGGAGGACTGTGCGAGGTTGAGGTGGATCCGTGCGTCACTAGTAACCCGTGTGAGAACGGAGGCACCTGCACATCACCTGGTGTCGGACTCTTCAACTGCTCCTGTCCACTAGGGTGGTCCGGCGTTAACTGTTCGGTTGATGTTGACGAATGTGCTGCCATACCATGTAGGAACAATGCGACGTGTGTGGAGAGTGGTTCATCGTCAGCGACGTCATCCTCGCCTCCTAAGGTTCCTATCGGTGCGTATGTGTGTCTGTGTCCTGGTGGTGTGACTGGTATGGACTGCGAAAGTAACATTGCCTGCGACAGCTCGCCGTGTGCCAACAACGGCACCTGCCAGTTGGAGTCTGTGACTGGTTACAGCTGCGCATGCCAGGCTGGCTTCACTGGTCCACACTGTCAGACTAATATTGACGAGTGCACACCATTGCCCTGTGCAAACAATGCCACCTGCCATGACGGGATCAACGGCTACTTGTGCGAGTGTCCACCCGATTACACTGGCGTTCATTGCGAAACGCAGATCAATGACTGCGCCAACGTTACCTGCGCAAACCAAGCAGTGTGCATCGATCTCGTTGAGGATTTCCACTGCTCCTGCTTGCTGGGCTTTGCCGGTCGCTACTGTCAAGTTAATGTTGATGAGTGTGTGAATGTGACCTGTAGTCACCATGGTCGCTGTGTTGATGGTATTGCGTCGTTCTCCTGTGACTGCGATGCGGGATTCACCGGACGGGACTGCCAGACGGACGTCGACCACTGTCACAATGTGACGTGTCGCAACAACGGAACGTGCGTGGACGGTGTGCTGAACTTCACATGTGCCTGTGTGCGTGGCTACAGTGGCGCCCTGTGCGAAGTGAACGATGATGAATGCAGCAACGTGACTTGTGCAAACGGTGGCTCGTGTGTGGACGGAGTGGCATCATTCACGTGTACGTGTGCGCCAGGGTATACTGGGCAGCTGTGCGAGAGCAACATCAATGAATGTGCATCATCACCGTGTATGAACGGCTCGTGTACGGACGGCATCGACGGCTATGCTTGTCTGTGCTTGCCTGGCTTTACGGGAACACACTGCGACCAGAATGTGAACGAGTGTGTGTCTGAGCCGTGCTCGAATAACGCCACGTGCGTGGATCTGATCAACGCATACTCCTGCTCATGTGCACCAGGGTTCACGGGAATGCTGTGTGAGACGAACATCGACGAGTGCCAGAGTTCACCGTGCGGAGCGGGCAACACGTGTGTGGATGGCGTGAATGGCTACGTTTGTCAATGCAGCGTGGGACTGAGCGGCAAGCACTGTCAGACGGACGTCGACTACTGCCAGCAGGGAATGTGTATGAACGGCGCGTCGTGTCTGGACGGTTCCGGATCGGGATTTGCCTGCGTGTGCGCAGCTGGGTACACGGGCATGCTCTGTGAAACTGACATTGATGAATGCAGTAACAACACCTGCGCCAATGGTGCTACATGCGTCGACGGAATTGATGCTTACACGTGTGCGTGTGCAGCCGGGTACACAGATGCGTACTGTGATATCAACATCAACGAATGCTCGTCGAATCCCTGTTCGGCGTTCTCCAACTGTACGGATCTGGTCAGTGGCTACACATGTGAGTGTGATGCAGGGTTTACTGGTGTTCACTGTGAGACTGATGTGGATGATTGTGCTGCCCAGCCATGTGCCCAGCACTCTACATGCACCGATGCCATCAACTCCTTCATGTGTGCATGTGCAGTCGGGTACACTGGTGCCACGTGCAGTATCGAACTCAATGAGTGTGACTCATCTCCCTGCGTAAATGGTACCTGCACCGACCTTATTGCGGGATACAGGTGCGGATGTGTGGCTGGTTTTACCGGCAGCCGTTGTGAGACAGAACTGAATGAATGTGTCTCCGACCCATGCCTCAACTCCGCCACGTGCGTGGATTTAGTCAACGCGTATCGCTGTGTCTGCAGCGCTGGATTCACCGCGGCAAACTGCTCCGTCAACATTGACGACTGCCAGCCGAGTCCGTGCGTGCGCGGCATGTGCATGGACTCAGTGGCGTCGTACTCGTGCGTGTGTCCTCCTGGATTTACCGGCGCTCAGTGTCAGACGGACATTGACGAGTGTCAGAGTATGCCGTGTGGACAACGTGGTGCGTGTCTGGACGCGGAGAATGGCTACAGCTGTCGGTGCGAGGCCGGCTTCACGGGAGCGCACTGCCAAACGGACATCAATGAGTGTACTGCAAGACCGTGTGAGGGCGATAACAGTACGTGTACGGATCTAGTGAATGCATTCCGCTGTGCCTGTCAAGCCGGGCTAACTGGTGATAGGTGTGAACAGGATGTGGATGAGTGTTTGCCTATGCCATGTCTCTACGGTGGCACATGCACACAGCCGGTGCTGAACGAGTTTGTGTGCCAATGCCCGGTAGGCTACACAGGCGTACGGTGCCAGTCGCTCATATGCAATCCGGACGCGCCGGATGATGCGGAGCGCTACGACAATCAAGATGAGTGCGCCCCGTCGGAGCCGCTGTGTATCCGGGGCACCTGCCGAAACCTGTGCTTCAACTACACCTGCGACTGCGAGGAGGGGTACGAAGGACGTCACTGCGAGAACGCCAGGGCTGTCGTTGGCGGCGACTCGAATGCAGTGTCCACAACCACCATTGTCATCATCGTGGTGGTGGTTGTTGTCGTCCTGCTCATTCTTCTTGTCCTGATGGGCTTGTATCGTCGAAAGCAGAGAGGCAAGCTCTCTGGTTCGTACAGCCCAAGTAGTGTAGAGGGCAATGGAGCTGACCTTGATGACTTGGACGTGGAAGAAGAGCGGCTCATCTGAACACAATGACCAGGACTCGTACACAAGCACCCAGCAAGCCACAGTAGTGGGTCCATTGTTATTAGGTGTATGCCTGTTTTGACTCCCACTGCAATTGTATATCAACAATAACAAACTAGTACACTGACGCTGAGTCTCACAAATCCATAGACTGTACATCACTGTTACAAGAAGTGCACACATGTACTGGAAAAGTGAAGTCTCTCACAAAAGCCAACAGTATGCAATAGAACTAACTTCAACTCAGTTTTCACCATAATAGAACTAAACCAAGCCAATTTGATTCGTAGATCAGTGCTTATGTCCTGCACGGAACCTTGAGATTTTGCTACATGCTTTAAATGTAGTCTATATACTGATATGCTAGCTTTGACTCGTTTGATCTGCTGTAGGCACGTGTTGGAGTCCGCTTGAGGGCATTAGGGGGCTTCGAGACTCTCTGAACACACTATGGGCTGGATGAACAGAGAGCCTCGTGGTCACATACATACAATGCAATGAACTTGTGCTGGTGTATGTTGCTCTACACCTGACAATGCTATGATCATAATAATTTTAAACATACTTTCATAATACTGTAAGTATTGCCGCTAGCATTGGATTGAGGGACGAATGACTCTCTGCTCTCACGCTCACTGTTGCCACTGTTGCCAGTGTTGCCATTATGCTTTCTATGTCCATTGTTATAATGCTTTCAATTTGATGATATTTACCTTGAAGAGTAAAGCTGTTACAAAGCTGCAAAATACTTGTGACAAAATGTCTGGATGATGATCCGCATAGAATATATCCCCCTGTACCACACACAGACACACATACTGACATAGCGACATGCAGCCACAGTGACTTACTAGATGTGCCCTGGTCAGCAGCAATGAGGGGGGGGGGGGGGTAAAGCTGAGGGAGGACCCTGTTTGTGACTGTGTTAGTGTTAGATGACCTGTTATGCAAAGTCTTGACCATTTCCTAGAGTAATACTCGCGTGTGCTAGACCCTGTTTCCTACCGCCCTTTCCAAACAAGGAATCATTCAATGACAGACCTCACACAGGCCAAGGTTCGACAGTGGTGGCGTTCATCTACTCAGCTACAGATCCAAACAGAGTCAGTGCATGATTTGCGCTATGGGTCGATTCTGCCCAGTCATGGACATGTTCGCATGTCTTTCGACAACTAACTAATGGCGAGTAATGCTTGTCTGTCACCAAGTCAACTCTGCCTGTTTTGTGGCTTGGTGACCACACATTTTGAGGCTGCTAGCTGCTAGTGTGTCAAGCGGGTACTCGGATTCTGTACGAGTTCGTACATTCTCATTGGTGCACACCCTTCATCTGACACTGCGGCGCACGTCAATGCTAGTCCAAATCGGCCATGTAATGTGCACGTTCATCAGATCGGACAGAGTTCGGCTTGCTGCAAAGTCCGGTTTTCAAACTGATTTCCACACGTGCGGTACAGGCGCAGAGGCAGCGTGGAAATCAGCTGCATTGATCAAAGCTGGACATCTCCTTGGCTCAATCAATGTTCTCCGTGACCCTCATAATTATTATAACACTGAACAAACAATCCGTACTATTCTATCTTGATCGAACGGGGATGTAGTTTTACGAACTCGCAGAGCTAGCTGGTGACAGTGCAGTCGGAGTTGGGCGAAGCCGAAGATGAAGCAAGGCAAACACAACCGAGCTAAGGAGCGCCTACAGCAGCGAGCGGCGGCCAACCGCGCCGGACGCATACCGGCTGCGTCAATCGGCGACGGGTCCAGCTCCAGAGACGTTCTCTCAGGCGGAGCGTTCAAGCCGGTGAGGTCCCTCAGTGGCGTGTTCACGCCCGTCCAGCGAGCAGCGTATGTAAGTGCTAAAACTGTAAAAGTAAAACATGGTAAAAGGGGTTAGCATCATGCACACTGTAATCTCCTATTCGTGATTGTTGTGATGGTCTCTGTGGTCGGTTGTGTAAAATACTAAACGAGGTAGGCAAGCAAAATCTGTCACCACGCTTGTAGTAGTATTTCACCGGAGTAAGATATTCTCGACTCCGTTTCATACAAAAATCACGTTGTCTGGATGTACATGAAAACATCGCCATTCCGGCAACAGGCTCTCAGCTGCACCAAATAAATAACTTTGCCAATATTTCGCCCATTGGGCATCATCAGGGCATTGAGGAAGGGGAGGCCGAATTACGAAATATAAAGACGAATAATGCAGGCAGATCATAGCCAGCAATCGCATGTCATCACGTACATTGAAAATCAACATAATTTTGCGAATCGACCTTTTTTTCAGGATCACTTTTCAACGACGACGAAGCAAAGTCGGCCGAACGAAGCCTAGAGGAAGAAAATCACCCTCTCCACTTCACCATCACGATACTGACATAGATACGAGATGAAACAACTAAAAAATCCACAAGAAAACTGTACGGCCATCATCGCGCTGACTTTGGTCTGACTTTGGTCTGAGAATTTCTATCACGATCAAAAATGTACGAGGAGCACTCAAAAATAAGCCACAGACGTACCTTTATCGCTCTCTACTCCTTTTTCAAGGCACAAAAGTCGACTCTCCACTTTCAAACCAGGAACCAGACATACCAGTGGTCCTTTTCAGCTGCTCCACGAGCGCAGGAAATGTTCACCAAGGGGCGCAGAGCAGCATCCATTCCAGAAAAAGAGCTAAAATACGAGTCAGACTGCATGACTGAGTACATGAGTACATGTATGAGTACATGCAGAAAATAGTCAATTTCAGCGTTTCTGCTCCAAACAGCAACTAGCTTCAACTAGAAACAAAGATTACACCAAAGGATCAAACAACAACCATTTTCTGCAGTTTTTTTGCAGATGGCTTCCTTGTGCTTGGCCCAGCACGCCAAAAATCACACCTCGGAGGAGTACAAAAATTCCAACTCTCAGATGTCCTCGATTGCTGGCCATGGAATGTTCTAGAACTCAACAGTAACACATCGTGGCGACACAATTGGCAAGGCCAGCAGCGTGAAGAAACGTGTTGTCTGCATGTAGCCTGTGTAAGGAGTCTAAGGGCTTAGGCCGTTCTTCATTCAAATGCTGCTGTCCTGACTACTGTACTGCGTTCGGATTGTGGCCCAGCGTGGGACATGTCGACATCAGACAACACGCTTCAGAGTGCAATGTGCCTCAAATGTTCGGTGTCCCAAACCCAGTCCACAGTGCATATACAGTGCACGATGGTTGAGTTTAGCATTACTATTCAGTAGTACTAGTAGCTCAGTCAGGGGTGTACAAACAGGAAATGCGACATGTCTGTGCGAGATCTACAGTATCATTGTCCCATACTCCCCAGCATGCAATACACCATACTCCCCAGCATGCAATACACCATACTCCCCAGCATGCAATACACCATACTCCCCAGCATGCAATACACCAGACATTGTCCCATACTCCCCAGCATGCAATACCATACTCCCCAGCATGCAATACACCAGACATGGCTCTTTGTATGTATGGTGGGCTGGTGTGCACAGCCACAAGTGTGTAACATCACCTCTCTATCCAGAGCACTTAGTAAAAAGACTCATAACAAACTGCACCGCTGAGAGACCACATTCATCGAAACACAGTTCGCCTACAGGTCACAGCACCAAACTTCCGTAAGATTGAGAATGAGATGCAACCCGAGGATCCCAGCAGTTGAATGGGCATCACTGGGCATGCACTATTAAATTGTAGTACTTTGAAGTACAACTGACTACACTCTTCGACTTTTTTTATAAACATCCTTTCCCTATAAAACCTGTGACCTTGTCTACAGCCTCCTCATAATAACATCCTTCCGGACGAGGCAGGTGGTATGCTTACATGAACACTTTACTGCACTTGTTGAATACAGTTTGTTTCCTGTATCACCGGGGCTGCCTGTTTTCCAAACTGTGCGTGTGATTGAGTTTCTCGTGCACGTCAGTAGCATTGCTGCCACGTTTGGCGGCCAGGCGTGACCATTTTCCATGCAGCCGACCGTGCTCCGTGCTCCGTGCTCCGTGCTCCGTGCTCCGTGCTCCGTGCTGCTCACATCATGGGTCATTTACAGACTGCTTTTTGTGCTTGTACGTATTCCACGGTACAGTGGTAGCAACTGAAATCCAACCCCTGATTTTCGTGCTCAGCGAGTGCAACACCGATTCTAGCAGTGCCTGTTTGATAGTGTGCAAGTGCGTGCTGGGTTTTGCACGACCCCTTTGTGTACGAACTTGACACAATGGAAATATGGCAACCCAGGTGCACAATTATTCTAATCAGACGTGGCAGGCTGAGACCGAGTCTGAGCTGCCATAATAACTAGTACAGCGCAACTTCCCAACACAGTCACAGTTGCAGGTGGATTGCAGAATTTCACAAAAAAAAATAACGACCAAGAAAAGAAATGACTATCTACTGCAGGTCGGGGTCGGTGCTCCATCGTCACCATGGACACCAAACTGGTGTCATTGTACAGTAAAACTGCCCAGGTCCGGATGTCCATAATCCGGGCATGATGTCCATAATCCGGGCATGATGTCCATAATCCGGGCATGATGTCCATAATCCGGGCATGACCGTATACCGGGCACCTTCCTGACCCGCCTACAGTCACAAAAAAACTGGCATCGCAACAAAAAACGGCCCAAAACTATTGATTGGCATAAAATATGTTTACTTGCATTCGGTAAGTACATGTATGTATGTTTCGAGTCACGGGCAATTGCCAGACTAGTTACAGGCAGTGCTCGGTCCCAGCCTGCCCAGACATGAGGAGTTTTAGCGTAGCTGTAGCTAGTACTAGCATAACCTTGTGTACCACTACTCTGATTCTTTTCCGGATCATCTTGGATTTTTCAATAAAGTTCTTGGAGTATTAGAAGCGTAACATTTTACTTGGCAGAAAGGTCACTTGACTTAGCTAGGTACTTTCAACTACTACTACTTTATGTTATGGCATTGCCACAAACTCAGGCAAAACCAGGGATAATGTTGTACCCGTTTGTACATACAGTATACTTCCACAGGCCAGGGCCCCTTCCAAACGGTTTATTGCTGCAGTCCCGCGCACTGTTCCTTACAGGTTGTTGTCCTCCACCCACCTTGTACCTTGCATGCTGTCATTGTCATATCTGGTGAACTCATCAGGAAGCTTACACACAGGGTGTATACAGTGCTGCTCGGCGATGAAATCCAACTGCATGAGCCAAGTACGCCGCAGTGTCGGACGCTGCGCAACCCGAGACCTGCCAGCACTGGGCTGTGCACTGGTACATGGTGCAGAGCGCAAACTCGACTCAAACGATCGATTTTCATGGAGCAGCACTACTGTAAAACGAGTAACTATGGCGACGTAAAAATGTTTGCGAATTTTGCGAGCGGCCCCAAATCGCAAACTTTGAACAACGCAAACTCGCGCCATGTAAAGTTCAGTGCAACGACTGACTCGACTGTATCGCAAACATTAAACAGCGCAAACCAGTCTCAATTATTTGTAAAACGCAAACATTTATTGTCACAAACGTTACCCGTTGTACAGTATACTTGTGTTAAGTTGTGTAAGTCACTTAGCTACGGTTGCTACGGTTGCTACGGTTCTGAGATGTTGTGTGTTCTGCACTGGTTTCTTCTACTCCCCGCTGTTAGTATGTTGGCTCATTCCCGGCTGCAGTACCTAAGGGAGAAGACATCTCTAAAGTCGTCGAGAGAAAACTCAGAGCATTGACTATCAAGAAGGTCAGTAATGGATTCAAGCGCAAATGATAACCTCCTTGACGTTCCTTCATGTACATCCAAAGTATGTAGATTAAGGTTAACTTTGGCCATTTCACTTGGCTTGCAATCATGTACCATCAAGAAGGCCAGTAACAGATTCAAGCACCGTGGCAAATGACAACATCCTCGACCTTCCTACATCCAGATTATGGTTAATGTTGGCCATTTCGCTAGGCTGGCAACCATACATTGTCTCCACTGTAAGATCCCTGGATGAATATCACCAGTTGTCTTGGAGACAAAACTGCAATAGCACCCGAGAGGAGACTGCAAGTTTCGGGCTTCTTACTTCAAAAGGCTTTTCGACTTGTAACTGTAACTGACTTGTTCCCCCTGGAGTATGATTGTATAGCATCAGAACATTCACTTTAAACATTGTCACCGTGATGATCTAGTCAGGTAAAGACAATTCAGGTTATTTTTTGCTGCCAACCATGCCCCGGGAAGCTAAAGCTTAAAAAGCAGTGCCCCGTGCGACTTCAACGTGCAGCTTTGAGTGTGTCTCTATTAAAAAGGCATTGGCAATATCTTGCAGCGAATGTCAGGCAGCTTGAAAAGCACGATGCTGGGTTTCCGTAGCCTTCGGGATGTGTCACTCTGATGCACCTTGCGTGATTGCTCGCTGCTCTATCTGTTAATCATGTGTCCTCGGCAGGACGCGCCAGGTGTTCCTGTCAAAGTGGTCGTGCTGAAAGATGGCATCAAGATCTTCCGCGTGGATGGCGAGGTCAGTCATTAGGCATCAAGGATACAATCCTGGGTGGCGCCTGGCCAAACGTGTGCATGTGCAGCAAGTATCTGATCCTGCTTGCTTCTTCTCTGCATTTAAAAAATATCTCTTCCGAAGAGAACTGAGTTCAGTCACCCTGTGGGAAGCTGACAAAGTAGCTGAGAATGTTAATAAAACTGTACCACTTTGATTTGGTCCAATTTCTCCGCTTGGTTTCATATAAGCGCTGTTGCGATTGCTAGATGTATCAATAGCACTTCATCGCCAGTGACGACTGAGGTCTTTATAGATACTAAGATAGAGTGTGTTGTTGGGTGGTACAGCCATTGTCTTGCCTACTGGGCAGCATAGCCAAGTGCAATGCAAGTAGATTAAAACCACCCTACAGCATATGCTGCGTGATGTCTCTCCTAACTTGGTACAAAGTAACAATGACAATGACATAACCAGAATTTGTGGTGCATCCCTACTCAAATCCATTGATCCCCGAGCTGCAGAGAGTGCTCAATGTCAGAGACAGAGATTAGAACATAGCAGACTCAGCGGAGGACGTTCCGGTTGCTTGTTACTCCGAGTTTCATGCCGCTAGGCAAGAACCATCCTGGACGTCCTCCACAGGATCTGCTTTGCTGCTTTCCCTCCGTACACAGTAGCCAGACAGAGAAGATCATAGGCTAGAGTTCTAACTTCCTATACGTGTTTGTGTATTGCGGTTTCTGCCCATGCCCATCCAGACATTGTTCATGGCACACTCATTGTCACGCATCTCGTTGTCCATGGGCTTCAGGCACATGCAGTGTTTTGCATTCGTGGCCCGCAATCCGACGGCACGAGGCGGTGAAACGCTATGCCACGTTGTCTACTGCACCCAGGAGGAGACGGTAAGACATTCCAGGCGCGTAGCACCGCTGTTGGAGGTGGTCCGGTTGGAGGGGGTCCGGGGGTGTCTCGCGTGAAAAATTTGAAATTAGGGTGCAAAATCCTGCATTCTGGGCACTTCTGGGCGAGAAAGGAAAAAGTGGTCCAGCCAGAGCCGGCCCGGCTGCTACGCCCCTGCATTCTGAGTACATTCACTGGTATTGGTGATACGGTAACTGTGGGTCCCTTTCTACGAGAAATGAAGCCATAGCATTGTCAGCCATAGTTCTGCACACGTGCAATAATCCTCCTCTTCTCCTCCATGCTGGGAGCGCATGGAAGAGGAGAGGAGGATTGTTGCATTGTTGAACAGCCAAATGGTACCGTTCACAATATTAAAGTTCTGACCACATCAATAAAAACCAAGAAGGCAGCATATATCACGATTTGATTTCGTGTATGTGGCATGCTCTCATGTATTGCAGCCTGACGAACTCAGCAATCTCGTGTCCGAGGCGTTTCAACTGGCCTATGTCGAGATGCTGTCCAGCAAGTCACATCTCGCCCATGCGCCTAAACTCATCAAGTCACCGTCCGGGGATCTCCAGGACATAGCAAAGCAAGGTTCCTCTGGCAAGCCTGCCTCGCGGCCACCATCGTTGCCGGAGTCCGTAGCTGAGGTTGATGTTGCTGAGCAGCAGCGTCTGCTGGAAATGTTCAGCAAGCAACACGAGCAAAAGAAGCAGGATACGCTGAAGGCACAGGCACAGGCGTCGCACTCTCCACGGCCGCAGAGTGCTGACGAGCAGCGGAGGATCAGGTAGGTCCAATGAACCATTTTCTCTGCTCTTCTATTTCTGTATATTGCATGACCAGATCCTAACCAAGTATCATTGCATGTCAACTAACTTTATGTGCAGTGCCATAGCATCAATGAAATCCGATCGAGTGAGTCAGCTTCTCGCCCTGCACTAGTGAACATCGCAATGTTTGCAGGTCTAGGGCTGGACAGCGCCTGGTGCATGCGTGTCTAACTCGATGGAATTTCATTGAATAGCGCTGTAGCTGCTGCAATGACTGGTGTAAGTTGTCAAGTTCCTTCCATGATATTTGTTAGAACTGGGCCCTCTATCGGAATTTCCTGTACTTCTGAAATAGTACCATGCAGGCTACTAGCAGTAGTACTCAAGTGCTCAAATGTATCTTGTGCGGGACTGTTACGCAGGGAGGAGCAGCAGGAGAAGATGATGAAACGGCTTGACTTGATGCACCAGCGAGAGGAGTTGCTGGAACAGAAGCGTCGCCAACAGCAAGAACAACAACTTACACAGCAGCAGCAGCCACCACAGCCGCAGAACCAGCAGCAGCAGCATCCACAAGAAACACTACCCGCTGGGCAAAGTCTGGTGGTGAAGAGAAGAGTGGTGCGAAAGGGAGACTCTACTGATCCAGCAAAAAGCCCCCAGGCAAGTACCAGTATTGTTAGTGGTATGAGAAAGGTTTCAGAGACAAGAAACTAACAAGGCCTGATAGGCAAGTCTAAGGAAGCAAGACTTACTCCCTTGAATCAGGACATTAACAAACACGTGTAGGGCTTTCATATCAATGGTAGTATGGGGGCCACTTTAAAAGTAATAACCCTACAAAGCAAACACATATACACACAAACACACACATACACTACTACTACTACTATTGACAGCTGCCAGAAATGGCCACGCCGCTCCCCGAAGGGAGGTACTGTCAGAGAGGTTAGGGGAGAGGTAGGCAGTGCTTCAAATGGCACTCCAGGTCCTGTCGCCTCCGAAACTGGCGTTGATTACAGTCTCGGCAGTGATGTTCAAAGTGATGGCGATCAGTCACTGTAGGGCGCTTCGGGCGGGGTCCACAGCGATGGCGCTTGAGGCCAGCAGTAGACTTGAAAGTACGCCGGCAGGCTGTACATACCGGGACCTCGGCAACAGGAGGAGCATCACTAGGCGGTCGGTCGTCACAGTTGTCACACACACACACACACACACACACACACACCTGGCCTGGTGTGCAGCTGCCAAATGCTTGGCCACGCCGCCCCTGAGACTGGGGAGAGTAGAAGAGAGAAGTCGATGGGATAATTACGGCCCGCTGAACGAGTATGGACGTCTAGTCATATGATGCCTTGATTGCCTCATGTAGGCCCTGCTAGGTGCACTGAGATTGGTCAATTCCGTGACTACAGTCATGTGACATGTCAGAAGTCCACAGTCATACGTACTCTTTTGTTGTGGTAATCTAATGTTGCAGATGCGTCGCAGGGTTATGACGTCTACTGCTGGCGCCCAATCTGGCGCATCACCACTCGTTGCACATGGCGGTAAAGCGGATGAGTCCGGCGCACCACAAACGACTGCAGGTAGCCAGAATGCAGTCCCGCTGCCTCCCCGTGGCACGGAGCAAGCTGCCAGACCAGCCAGGGTCTCCGCTGCACCGGCAAACGGCGGGCACATAGGAAGCGACGCGGCACACCAGCACCACTCGCACAATGGTATGGAGAACGGACAGCTGGCGTCAAATGTCTTGCCTCTGCCACCACGAGGGCATTCAAGCTCACCGGAAAGTCAGAAGAAAGCGGTAACTAAAGCATTGCCGCACCAACGCGAGTCTGTTTCAGGTATGCAACTAATGTTTAATGAGTAATGCCTGGATGCTTTTTAACTCCCTGGCCTACAGTTTGTAGATGGATCTACAAGTAGGTTGGCATTGATCACACCACCGATGTGCATCATTCCATTGACTCTTCTTGTTTTGTGCGGCTTCGGTGTTGGCAAAGTTAACATTGCGGAAACTGGGAGATGTGCACGAGAACGGTATTCTGCAGTATTAGTGTTGTTGGTGGCACTGAAGTTCAGATTGACTGACTGCAATGTTGCAAAAATGTGCGCATTTTGAAATTTAAAGTGCGAAACTTTACCTCTAAACAACTGCTAAACGGTGTTGTTAATCCACTCTTCATTGCATCCTGGATTTTTCGTTGTTCTACACGATGTGCAGGGCAGTTCCTCCCTCAGGGTGGATTCTTGCCTGAAGATGCAACTGCTAAACGGTGTTGTTAATCCACTCTTCATTGCATCCTGGATTTTTTCATTGTTCTACACAATGTGCAGGTCAATTCCTTCCCCAGGGTGGATTCCTGCCTGAAGATGCGCTGAGCGCCGTTCCTGTGCTTCCGGTGACCCAGCAGTCGTACGAGGACGTGAACGCTTCCGAAGAGCTAGCCGCTCTGGTGCGCATGGCCCGCGAAACATCGAAGCGAGACACGTCGTCGCAAGCACAGGTGACGGCCGCTCTGCCGCCGCCGATACCGAAGAAAGACGGGTACATGCAGCCAAAGGACAGTGTTGTTCCGGCTCTGCCGCGTCCAGCTCGCACAGAAGTAGAATATGACCAGCCGGCTGTGGACATGGTCGGCATGGAAAGTACAGCAGCCGGCACTGCTGACACCTTACAGGGAACCCAGCCAGCACCACTGGGTGTACCGCGGCGTGTAAAGTAAGTGCGTATGCCAATGAGCTCCCCCCCCCCCCCATGCGTAGTATGTACGGTTTGTTTCGTGCAACTAGGTTAGCAAGACACCGTAAAGTTGTGTGTTTAGTGTAGTTAGTTTTAGTTTTATTCCTAACAATACATGGCTGGGGTAGCCAATGACCACTTTACGTGGCGAGTGTAAAAGCCGTGCATGGTGCCCAGTGAAACACAATGTGAACAGCAGCATGAAATATGCAGAGAGTGTTTGCACATCAGTATGCCGTTCAGCATCGCCCATGCATAAAAGTGCTGCATGAACAGAATCCGCTTGGAAATACGACCATCATCTCCATGGTAGTCTTTGCTTTGTCAACTTCCTCTCTCGCACTGATGATGCATGTATGAATGAGAATTGGAGATGATGCATGTATGCATGAGAATTGGAGATGATGCATGTATGCATGAGAATTGGAGTGCTCAATGACAAATGTAACTACTGTATTTAAAAAGTCAACAAAATTTTTATATTTGGCGCATATTTATTTTCGGCTATTTTCGGCCTGATCATGTGTGGCCGAAAATGTGTTGCAGCCGAAATGCGTTTTAGCCCTGGGAGGTCGAAATTAGAATGGGCCGAAAATTTGTCGACTTACAGTATACCGTGTACATGTAACAGTTACCATGGTTACCTGCATGGTTAATCCGGTTACTTAGCACATGCACATAATTATATAGTATAGCATGTACATGTACGTGCATGGTTAATCCGGTTAGCACATGCACACAACTGTACTGTCTTGTTGTTGTGTAGCCAAGGACTGGGACTGGAGAGCCAATGAACCACATACATATGTGCACTCACTGCAGGATCCGGGACACTGCCGACCTCACAATTGCATCTGTGTCTTGTTCTTTGTACCTCTCTCGCCTGCAGGCGGACATTACCTCGGACCGCAGCCATCACGGATGAACCAACGCAGCCAGAGCCAGCTCCAGAACAGCAGCTAACTGAGAAGCAAAGCAAAAGAGCTTCGCTCATCAGTGCTAGCGAGTCTCTCCAATTCCTGCAGAACGCAGCCGCTGGGCTGGATCTGTACCAGACGGAAGCCGATCCGAGTGCCCAGGTATCGTCACCCGTAGCTAACATGGATCCGCTCCAGTTCCTTCAGATGGCCGCCGAAGGATTGAGCGCAGAGAACAGTCCGTGTGATCCACGGGCCCAGTTGGAGTATGAGGACGCAGTGGAGTGGAGGAGGCCCAGGCAAGTCAGCCTGGACGACAGCATCGCACAAAGCGACGATGAAATGAACCCGTCGCACGCACAATGGTTCCAGTCGGGCATACCGAGGTGAGAGAAGTGCGTGCATGTTACCATCGGATACCTGCATTTTGCTCTCTCCATACACCCCCTTCCTATCCAAAACAATTCCATGCGGGCTCATAATAATGGACCCTCACACCATACCCTGCATTCGGTTGTAATACCCTTGCGAGTGAGCTATATTTAACCAAGAACCACCCCCCCCCCCCCCTCCTCAGCCAATCTTGTACTCCAACACAACTGGCTACAACATGTGTTCTGCGTTCTGCTGTCTCACTATAGGGAGGTGGCAATGGAAATCCTGTCTCATCAGCCGGTCGGCGCGTTCATCGTGCGCGACAGCCACAGCCGCCAGAACTGCTTTGCCTTGTCGCTGCGCATCGATGACGGAATAACCCACTTCCTGATCGAGCAAGTCGACGATGGCACGGTCCGCTTCACTGTGAGTACACCCTGCATGACCCTGTAAAAAAAAAGTAAATTATCTTGCCCGTTCCCGAAGGGAACTCACGACGGCGCTAATACCCGGTAAACCCTAGCGGCAGATGCAGCGCCTAACGATGGCCCTGTTGGGCCAAGTAAAAACAGAGCTCATCAATAGGCAGCTCTACATGTGTGGAGCCTTAGCAAAGGTTTACACTGGGATGTGCACTGAGGTCGGCACTGTCGTAAAAAGGACTTTGTACACAGCACATCAGTAAGCGTCTGCCACCTTGGTATACGAGGCATGGTGCTGGTCTGGCACAAGCGAAACACTTCCTAAGTTGATTGTGTTCCTCGACGCAATGGTATAGCCGGTGGTTACGCGAACTTGCCAACTATACTTTACTTTACATGAGTAAGCAACTCTGCGAACATGGAGCCGACACTGGGGTGTGCGGTGAGGTTGCACTGTTGCGTCCACAAGGTCACAAGGTCGCCAATTTCACTTCCCCTAACTACTGTAAGCTGTGCTTCGAAAGCAATGAACGTCAGACTAGTTCAAAGTAGTTTTCAGATTTGCTTCAATTGGGTAGAGAATGCCCAATTACAAAAAAAAAACAAAAAAAAAAAGAAGATCCTGCACACTGTAATCACAGACTGTACAGTATAAATAAAATAGTAAATTGTGCTATAGTATAGGTGTGGGCATAAAATGTATTACGATATTTGGTATTAGATGGTATACACTTTTAAATGCACTGTAGTACATGTACATGTATTGTGAACAAGCCGCTAGTGCTCCAGATATTAATTTTGGTTTCGTTGCTATTACATACTGTAAGACGTGTTATTATAACGAGTCGCAAACTTAACGATTGTCCAAAATTCAGAGGTTAACGAGAAGATATGTTAACGATCTTGCAGTATTCCGGCATATCCACACACAACATATATGAAGCAGTACGGCCTCAACGGGTCTTAATAATATTATAACAAAGAAATGTCATCCGTTAAAACGTTAGATTTACTTCCTCGTTATATACATGTCTTACAGTAGGCGTACATACTCAGTGCTGCTATGTTACAGCTGTGTGTCATTCATGTTGCGTGGTTCTGCTGACGCTGCAGGGTCAAGAACAGTGCTTCGCTGACCTAGGGTCGCTGATCTCCTTCCATTGTCACACTCCCGGGCCGTTGCCACTACCACTGTCCATCGTCAAGCTCAATCCCAATCTGGGCTTGGAGGACGACAGCGACGATGATGACGATGGCGATGGCATCGATGGACTGATGATTGACGACGACTATCACAACCTGATCGGCGGTGAGAACATAGTGCTGTTGAGTTGAGGCCGGGTGTGACGGCGCAGAGCCAATCCATGCTCCGAGTCGTTGACTGTGTGACAGTTCACACACACACTGCCTACAGTGAGCATGTTGCCGTCGCCAAATGGAGTAAACTTGAGTAACGCATTCATTCGAGCACAGAGCCATAGCTGACCAGTGTTCTAAGGTGCGAGGCATCCAACAGCATAGTCCTCTATGCCTGATGGAACATAGACAGTACACGGCTGCACAGTCCGGTGATATCGCTGAACACACATCTGCTCAACTGCTGCTCACCATTGCCATTGAACCAGTTCAGTACACTGAGCCCATGCAGATTGCATGTGCTCTTAATAGAATATACCCTATTTCCCTCACTAATGACTCCAATGCTTCAAATATGGACTACACAATGACATAATTATCATGCTCTTTTTGGCTGGCTTTTAGGGTTTACCGGGTGTTAGCGGCCGTCGTGGGTTCCCTTCGGGAACGGACACGATAATTTACTGTTTTTGGCTGGCTAAATTGATACTGACCACCCATATCCCGTGCCGTCCATGATAGGATTGCCTCAGATTTTCTAGATCAATGATTGTCACTCGCAGTTGGCAATGCTGCAATACAGAAGAACAAAGAGAACAACGAGTGAGTATAGTGTTTCCAGACTCAGAGCTGTGCATCGGTTTTGCTGAAAGATCACGGTCGGAATTTCGCTTGCGGCGTTTTTACCGCCTGGTAAGCATTGCATTTCACATTAACTTAGACAGAGTGGTGGTACTGGAGATGATGTTGGTAATACCTGGAGACGTCACAGTTGGGTGTCAGTGGTTTGGACAGGAAGTGTGAGCTTTGTGTTGTAAGCAGCCAACTTCTTCAACGTCATTTCTGAATCGGAAGTACAGATTGGGAGCCGGCCGACGGATAAGGATCATCGTGGGTAGTAGTAAGTACTCCCTGGTCACAACTGAAGTGTTGGAGACTATCCTACAGTTTTGACCAGAGAAATCCGGCCTCATCACAATAGCGGCGAGAGCACAGAACAGCATGGTGTAGTCGGCCGAAGCCAGGCTGCGTATCGCCCAGTGCTATTTTCATTTATGTGGTTCCGGGATTTCCCTCACCAGTCACCAGTCTGTTAGTGTACTAAGTGCTGCTCAATGCGATGAGTCAGTCAGCTTTTTCCGGATTGTCACAGTCATTCTGTCCGAGTAGACTCTTGGCTGTACATGTACTGAGCAACACTGGGCCATGCTGATCCACACTACCAGGCCATATTATTATCAATAATACTACATCAGTACATGTATCAAGATTCAAGACTCCCCCCCCCCCGTACCCATACCCCCCCCCCCCCCCCCCCCCCCAAAATGCACTCTTGATACTATTCATAGCCTTGAACTTGAGCCATACTGGGCCACACTCCGGCCATACTAATCCGCACTGGGCAATACATATACCTGAATACTGAGCTGAGCTAGTACATTGCACAGGCAAATCTACGACTCGATATCGAGTACGAGAAGATCCAGAATCCCGGATCGATCCCACGCACGCAAGCCGTCAGGGAGCCCTACGTACACGTAGAGACTGGAGAGTCTACCTGTGTACAGACAGTAGTAGTGTACAGCGTAGGCGTAGGGATCCCTCGATGTGCCCTGGCTGTACATAAAGTGTAGGCTGCATCCGTGTACGTGTACGTGTGGTTGTGTGACTTGCGTGATGACGTGACGGGCAAATCTGCTTGCATGAAAAATCTTGGACGATTTGCTGTGCAAGCGTTTTTTTCTTGTTGGTGCATGGTGTGGGAGAGTTCACTTCACTTGGTGAGAATGACCATTTTGCAGAGATGAAGAAGAAAAAGTTCCGCTTCAACGTGAAGTTGGATCTTCTTGAGCTGTGTTCAGTGCCTTTTGTAAGTGGCTCCTTCTTCGCCAAGATGAGGCTGATCGACGGAGGCGATTTTTGCAATGAGTCGAAACGGTACGAGTTGAATTCAGCACAATTGTAATTTTGTTGGACAGGGCAAGTGTCAAAACTCTTGACGTTTGGTATGCTGGTGCAGGGTTGTGGTGGAGAATCACCGTGTCCTCTGGGATCACACTTATCCGTTCTCTTGCAAGATGCACGCGCCGATTCAGACGGGTATTCTAGACTCGTGTTTGCTTCGCGTGTCTGTTCGCAAGGTAAGCAACAACAATCAGCACATGCACAGCTGTTCGTTGGTGACCTGTGGGAGCGTAAAGTGAGCGAAATTTTGGAGCTTGCAAGAAAGCTATAAGATCACAAATGAACCCTGGTGCCTTGCTCTGTTCGTCTTGTGGAAGTATTTTTAAATTCATGGGCCTGCGAAGTACTTATTTCAATTTTTGTACTTTTAAAATTTGGCAAAAATCAAACTGCTTGTTTTGTGTGTCGTACTTCCCACGATTGTCGTGCTGGTATTTTAGTTATAGTATGCATTGTTGACAGCCATGGTGCAGTGTAGCTAGGTAATTCTGTGCGCCGCTTGAGCATTGCAACATGTCAGTTGCTGTAGGAGGTGTGCTAAATCGGTGTGACATTTCTGGACACAATCATGCAACACGTCATGTGTTTGTCCTGGCCAGCTACTGCATGGCGTTTGAATGGGAACTTGTTTGGAATGGCTGAGTTTCCGCAGCGTAGTTACTAGTACTAGTAGTACCTAGAACTAGGCTACTACTATTGAGGCGACTCTGCTTGCAGAACTCTTGCAACTCATTCCCAAGCTTCCATCCTACAGTACTGAAAGACTGAAATACACGTGTGATCATGTAAATAATTTATTTTGTGCGTTCCTAGAGGGACTAATGTACAAGTAGGGCAAGTCCTATTGAGTCAGTGCACATGGGCGGGATTGGCACCATACAGAAAGAACCCTTTATATCTTGAACAGTACACAAAACTCTTCTGCTGGTAGTAGAGTTGGTTATGCCTGGAGCTGCTTGGTATTCACTTGCCACCGTGGATGTACCTTGAAGTATTGTTTGTGCAAGTAGCTTCATGAATTCAGTTACTATCACAGTCATGTACATGTAGTCCACGTTACTTTACGAGCGTGTAGGTTCCAGATAAGTGTGCACTTCAGGGGGCGTAAGCTGGCAGTTGATTCAAGAGTATACACAGCCTTTATGGACCTTCTTGTGGCTGTGCAATCTGCTTTTTGATCCCAGTACGCACTGTGCAGTCTAGTGGCAATGTACTGAATAGCTACTGAAGATCATCCTCCTACAATCTACATTGTATAGAGAGTAGGCAGGCTTTATCATGCACAGTGCTGCTCAATGAGACCCGATCAAGCGAGTCACAGTTCAGTACAGTCTACTACGGCCTGAGCTGAACACAAAGAGTTCAAGACCGAAAAGTTCAGAAGCACCCGAAAAGTCCGATGGAAAGCTGAAGCAGGAAACAGGACGCCAACAGGCATCCACATGGTGCCAGAACAGCAAAAAGTTTGAAGAACAAAGAAAGAAGTTGCTACATGTATCTGAAAGAGCAGGAACGGGTAAAAGATTGTACGGCTGAAACGATTACTGTAGAGGCAGAACATTTCGTCGGTCAATAATTTCGTCCAACTCCAAAAAAAATGAGTTCGTCCGGTTGAAAATTTCGTCCATGGATCATAAGAGTGTATAGAAAAGCTGGGCAGATCGACATTAGTCCTACATTTAATTTAGTCCAAAAGCTCCTTGGACGAAAAAGACGAAATTAAATTCCAGACGAATTTTTCTGCTTATACAGTATACCGCATAATCGAGTACTCGTTTGATAACTCTAACGATCGAGCAATCGTTAAGGGGTCGTCGCAAAAGTTTTCTGTCGTCCCTGAAACGAACATCGTTCATTTCGTACTTGGACCCCCTCCCCTCCCTCTGAAACAAACACAGCTTGCTATGCTGGACGACGAAAATCGCATGCATGTACATGTCATATGTACAGTGTCGGTCGACTTGCGATTTTGGCTCGCTTGGACCCCCTCCCCTCCCTCTGAAACGAACACAGCTTGCTATGCTGGACGACGAAACTCGCATGCATGTACATGTCATATGTACAGTGTCGGTCGACTTGCGATTTTGGCTCGCTCCCCCCCCCCCCCCCCCAAATGAATCATGTTCGTTTCAGGGACGACAAAAAACTTTTGCGACGACCCCTAAGATTACCGATTAGGCCACCCTTTGTTAATTCATTGTTTAACGTCCTTTTTTCCGCGAAAAGGTACGCGGGAGGGCGGAAAAAAAACAAAAGCCCATTCCAAAAACTGGAAACCCCAATCAAACATTTTGACCAGTAAAGCATGTGATATATACAATATTTCTGGGTCTAACGGCACTTGCAGGCATAGAACAACACTCTTTGATGGTACATTGGAGCACATGCCTGATGAATCCAACAAAACAGGTACATAGCATGGAGTTAGCATGTCATGAATTCATTACATCTGGATTTTTACTAGGACACACACCGTACGATATTTAAAAGCCAACAAAAAAAGAAAAAGAACACAAGACAAAGGCATGCCCGGGAGGCAAGATTATAAGTTTAAGGTCATGATCGGCACACTGTGAAACTACACAATCATGTATTTACAACTTCGCATATTATTGGTATTACTACTTTCTTGTTTTTTTTTCCAGTCTGAGGCAAAAAGGTACGCGGGCGCGGACGTTAAACAACGAAAAAAGAAAGGGTGGCCTTACGATTATTTTGCGTTTTTTAAATTTTTAATTTCTTATACGCGCAGTGCATGCAGCGCAGAGTATATAGTACACAGTACTACACACTGTACGCGCTGTTTCGCAGCCGCTCAGGATGTAGTACACGCAGTGCATGCAGCGCGAGTTCGAACATCGAGGACAGTCCTAGTGTAGTACAACGAAGCTGGAGCATGAAGCTCGAAGGTCAGGGTCGCGTCTGGTATTTCCACTTTTGGCCATTCCACGTACATATTCCAGGTGCAGCCTCTTAAAGATTATAATCGATCGTTATGATAAAGAGTAATCAATTGGGCTAAATGGATGATCGTTTCAGCCCTACTAAAAAGCAACTTTGTATACCCGTCCGCGATCTGCTGAATACATTGCACTACTTTTTACTTTTTTCGCCATATGACGTCAGTTGACATGACAACTTTTACAGGAACGCAGTAAATAAACGATTTGCTACGTAGTGTACAAGGGACCCAACTGGTGATGAAGTTTTCATTGAGCAGCATTGTAGATAGCCTATGGCTTTTTCATCCAGTAACTTGAAGCCATTCACCTGGCCAATCAATAATTCCTCTATGGGTATGCTTTTTTTAGACTTAAACTAATATTGGGCCTACATGTATACGTCTTGGCTCTCTTTCTCATTCCCTTGTTTTTGTTGTGCTGCTATGTGGGTATATTGTGCTTCTGTGGCTGCAGGATGCAAGGAGCGGACGTGTTGAAAAGGTACTGCAGGTCTTAGAGAACACATGATTGATCCATATGGCGAGTGTAAAGGCATTATAATTGTGCAGTGACGGCCTGCTGTTATTGTTGTTGTGGCAGGTGTTGCCATAGGGATTTGGCACATTATCCTTTTCTCTCTCTTTCTCTCTTAGTTTTCTTTTTCTTTGCACCTCTGTGAAGGGCCATGCTGTTGTCGCAGGAATCATATGCGATGATGTTACCATGGGGTGTGTTTGCTGCATGCGCGCGCGCGTGTGTGTGTGTGTCAATGTCCGTAGCTTGGCTTCGTGGACTTCGACCTAGCCGAGTTCTCTGGAGCAGGTCCCACCGAGCGCAAGTGTATCCTCTCAGGATATGACCAGAATCGACGGCAGGATAACTCTATTCTAAAGGTATGCTCCGGCACAAGAGATCATGAGGCTGGTTGTATTGTTGAACAGAAGAGTTCCTTTTCAAAGGACATGTTCATTTTCTAGATTTTTGGACGCAGCCCACAACACTTCTGCTTTTCTGTTACTTGTCCACTGTCAGGACATTTCAATATCACTTTTCTTCAGTTTTTGGTGGGCTGTGAGAGGAAGAGAAATTACTCCATCAGATCCGCTGTGACTCGACCTATCAAAGAACACGGAAAACTAGTTCTCAAATTTGTGCATACCGTTTTTTCGGGAACCTTTGTGTAGATCTTTATCAGACGTAGCAGAATTCAGCCAATCCAACGGCTACAGAACTCCAAATGCTTTGAGTTCACATCTCTCTCTCTCTCTCTCTCTCTCTCTCTCTCTCTCTCTCTCTCTCTCTCTCTCTCTCACACGCACACACCCTTTTCTGACAAACAGTAGCTTTTTTTGGTAGTTTGCTTAGTTGAGTTACTTCATGTTGGACCCTAATTTCGGCGGAAGAAAAGCTGGCAGCACCGTGCAACAGTTACCATTGTATCGCTGTATTTGTTCATGTTGATGTTGGATGTTGCATGCTGCATGCCCACAGCACCTGCGTATAGCACATTGGTATGGTGGTGTGTTCTCCTCCTGTGTTTGTTCAGGTCCGTGTCGCTGTCTCTTTGCTGGAAGGTGACCCAATGTTCAAGCGGTAGGTCAAGTTACTTAGCGTGATGTTCGAATGTACTGTGTTCTGTACTTAGGTCTAATGTGCATGGGCGTTGCCTGTGGTACTGCTAGTCGTACTCTTAGCACACATGCAATGACAATAATGACAATCGGTCGTGATCTCATTTCGCTATTTTGTCTGGTTGTGTGTGGGTGCATGCGTATGGGTACATGCGGGCTGGGTGTGTCGGTGCATGCGTGTGTGGGTGGGGGGTGCATGCGTGTGTGGGTGTATTCATGTGCGGATATTCTCTTCCAGGAGGCCTACTTCCCGTGACGCTCAGCGATTGAGTGATGTTGATCCTGCCGATTGCCGAGCTGGGGTGAGCAACGTTCGTGGTGTGGAAATCGCCGAACTTAACTCACCGACAAGCACACCGGCTTCATTTCCTGCAGGCGTTTGTAGCTCGCCTGCTGCTCATATGCGAAGTGGCAGTACCGCTGGTGTTGCATCCACTACTGCTACTACTGCTGCTGCTGCTGCTGCTGCTGGTTGTGCTAGTGGAAACAACGTGATGACAGTCTCGTCTTTAGCGACGCGTAGTAGCAGCGCGTCGGCCCAGGCGGTGGTGCTGTTGTGCAGCGACAATCTACAATCGACCAACTCACAGTCGTTGCCCAGCATAGACCGGTTTGAAACCGGCGGCGCCTCGAGTGCTGCAGCCACTGGTGCTGGCGGCGTGGCTGGCTTAGGCAGTGTGACGCAGCGCGGTGCCTTGTCATCGCAGCGAGAGAGAGGTGATCGTCCGGCATCCGACATTGCCTGGTCAGCAACTCCGCCGTCCAGCACAAGCAGTGCATCCTCAGTACAGCCGCCTGCGTTCTCGGAGACACTGCCGCGAACAGCGCGCCGATACACCTTCAACAACGACCAGGTCGCGCGCTCACATAAACGGTATGTTGTGGGTTAGACCCAGGTTTGCTCACCATCATTTCCTGTGCATTGCTGTTCCGTTCTTCTCGGTGTAGTTTTTCAGTACCAAGGACGTAACCAATGTTGACGAAGCTGGCAGTTTTTTTGTTTGTTTTTTGGTTGGAGGAAAGCAAATCTGCACACGAAGCACAGAAGCCATATAATTTTTTCTTGCTTACTACCTTGTTAATCACCATTGTATTCGACCTGAAGAGTAATGGAATGAAAGGCCAAGTCGAAAAAAAATGATATGGCTTCTGTGCTTCGTGTGCTGAGCTGGCACAGTGCATGTACATCACAATAATTGAATACAAGTACATGCACATGTACCGTAAAGTACCGCCAGAGCGCCCCACCCTGAATTACTGAAAGAGGACTCATTTCCGGCTGTAGAAGTGACCGTCGTATGGTCTGGTGCGACTAGTCGTACGGGGTTCACTCTGTTTTTGCAACATTGGGGTCGCTTCGCATTTTACTTGTACGGTGAGCCATGTGAACTGCAGTGCCCAGAGCTGCAGCCAGCGCAAACAACATGGAATTTACCTTCACCAAGCCGCCGTTTCTTCACTGAGACAGTCGCTGCGTAGGTGTGTGTATGACCCCAGTACAGACCACCTCACACACTCGCAGCCACCCCTGCCTCCCCAGAGCGACCACGAAAGGACGATTGGTGGGGCGCTCTGGCGGTACTTTACGGTACATGTATGCCGGTGATGTGGTGAGGAGTGGTGCACTGTTTGGTGCTTCTGTGTCTGAAATCATGATCCTTGCCATCAGTAGAATGTTTCTTCTGTGTGTGTGTGTGTGTGTGTATGTGTGTGTATGTGTGTGTGTCAGGCTAAAAATAGTGGCGGTCAATTCATCAGCCTTGCAAGCTGTTGAATGGTGTAATCCCAGCACAAGTTGCTATGTCTAACATAGCTGTTCGCTATCATCGCTCCCGCGATGGGCATGTCTAAGGTCTAAGGTGTGTGTGTGTGTGTGTGTGTGTGTGTGTGTGTGTGTGTGTGTGTGTACATGTGTGTACATGTGTGTGTGTGTACATGTGTCCCTTCCTTTGAGTTAATTTTTGCCGGAGGCTCATCGTGTTGTTTTATTTTTTGTTCCTTTGCTATGCAGTAATTTCAGCTGGGACCCACATGCCGCAGCGATTGGACAACTTGCACTCGATCCTTCTGACATCCAGTCAGGTTTGTCAGTAGATGATCTTAACCCTTTCAGTGCCAAGGGGGTCAGAAAAATTTTTCTGAGTTGAGGCGAACTCAAATTTTTCATAGCTCAGCTGTATATCCACGGATCTTTACAAACGATGGCTCTCTGGAAAGATATCATGGCCAGGCAGACAGCTGTGAAGAGAAAATGCAGCGAAAATAGTCTTCCTCGCGAGGGCGCCTGAGCGAAGTCCGTTTTCTGCATTTTCGTAGCATCTGCACTTTCTCACGCGCGCGATCGATCGCAGTGCAGTCAACTTTCAACGCACGAAATTCGGACAAAGTTGGCCCGAAAGCCACTGAAAATCTCGATGTTTTGATACCCAATACGCATGGGTTGCCGAGAAAGAAATAGAGAAACCCACGATGCGCATACGTCATGTTTTGTCCGAGCGCGCGCACTTCAGGCTTCGCCCTGGCGATATCTATCCCCACGGACACAAAGCGATGTGATGAGTTGATAGCCAAGGTCTTCCTGAATACGTAGAGTGGTCGTTTGTAACTCTCCTGTGTGTAGAAGTGGAGATACGAATTTATTTGTACACCCATACTCATTCTGGGCGACTAAAGTCGCCCGTGGCACTGAGAGGGTTAACTGCTTGTTGCCCTGGCTAGCATGTATAAAGTAGAGTGCCGGTAATCCGAACGCCAACTAGCCGAGTGATCGATTATCCGAAACACTCGGCCGGGCTGAATATTTGGTGCAAAATGAGTTTTACTGTGTTTTCCCATTCGCAGCATAATAGCACTGATGTGCAGAACACATGATAGCAGGGTCTTGTCTAAACTTCTCCCTGTGGGAAATTTGGAGCTGGAGTTTGTTTTGTTCCTGTGGTACTGCTAAAAGATATAACGAGAAATGAGGAAAACATGGGGAAATGTGCGTGTTAGAGATGTGTGTGTCTGCCTCCTCGCCCTAACATACTTATCACAGCCCCCTGGAAACGGTCCTGTACCTTATGGGGTGTGGATAGTCGGCACTCTCCTGTAGCCATGTCGTTGGGCTGCAGTTTTGACGCAAGTGTACTAGTATTCCAGCCAGGAGTAATCTTCAACGTGTTGTACATGGGTGTTGTAGAGTGGGACTTGGCAGTGGACGCGATGGTTTGCTCTAGCCGCAAGCAAAGTCATGGTGGCTTCACCGGCGTTTGTGGGGGCTGGTGTGCATTTCCTCTGGTTGGGTATCTATTCTTATTGTCTGTAAACTCCAACGCAGCCACTTACACATGTACATGACAACTCTTCATTTCTCCAACTCCAAAAATGGTCTCTTCACTGCGAATCACATTACATTCCACCAAATTTTCGGGCCTGGCCCATCATCAGGATAAACATTAAGTGAAGAATTGTACTTGGTCATCTCTATCCTTATTATACAGTCCCATTGATGCCCTTCCAGGCTTCCTGCAATGTGGCTACATGTAGTGTGTATTGGTCTAAGATTCGTTTTTGGCATGATGTGCTGCGTGTTTTGTATTCTTCAACTTGCAGCTGAAAAGATCGAGAGTATGTCGGTGGCAACGTCGACTACATCTCGTCGCCACATGCAGAACGAGCAGGCTACTAGAGTGTGTGATACACGTTTCGACAACGATGACATCATTGATTCAATTCTCAAAGGGTGTGTACGAGAGAGAGACAGGGAAAGAGAGAGAGAGAGAGAGAGAGAGAGAGAGAGAGAGAGAGAGAGAGAGAGAGAGAGAGAGAGAGAGAGAGAGAGAGAGAGAGAGAGAGAGAGAGAGAGAGAGAGAGAGGGGGGGGAGAGAGAATCCGAGCCTTGGCACTTACCTTCTGACCTGGCAACGTAATCCAGCCCTCACACAATTGCTAGATAGAGACATTGGTGTGCTGTAGAGGTTATTGGATTACAACGTGATATCAAGTCAGGCTGTGTTTACATGAAGCGTTTCAACCCGGGTTGAGTTCGACCCGGGTCAGATTTCAACCCGCCATGTACGCAAAATGAATGGCGCGTTTACATGACGCATTGCGCTTGACCCGGGTTGAAATTTCGCCCCGGGTTGATTTCAAACCTCCTCCCCCCCCCCCCCCCCCAAGGGGAGGGTTGAAATCAACCCGGGTCAAGAAAATCGTACAAACATACTTCTGTGCGTATCTCGCGCCAGGTTTGAACGGCACTGCAGATGCAAATTTTGCGCGAACGGATTCACGTGACCATACAGGACTGTAGAAGTGGACTTTTGGCGGCATATCAGTATTTGACCCGGGTCAACTGTCTTCATGTAAACGCTCACCTCTTTTGTCTATCGTACAGACTTTCAACCCGGGGTGAACTCGACCCGGTTGAAATTTCTCATGTAAACACAGCCTTACTGTGTATGCGTGGCACCACAAGTTGTTGAATGGTTCGCAAAGACTGTTTGGATGTTGAGAGAGTTCTTACAAATAAAACTGAGTGCTTTGCAGGTGGATGAGATTATTGTCGATGGATCCTGTACTCATATTGCTAATCGTATCTGTATGGGGCGTCACCTGGTGAAAATGGTTACAATAAAATCTGCCATGAGCGACTTCCGCTGTCGGCAACCTTTTTTTAATGCGTAGACGGTTTCACAGTCGAATTGATATGTCGAGGACGACCCTCTGTGTGCGAGACCAGCGATTGTAATTTCGTGTTGAGGACGACCATCTGTGTGCGAGACCAGCGATTGTAATTTCGTGAACGGAGACTGCATGACAACTCAGTGGAAACCACCCCATTTCCGTAGTGACAACAATTACAGTGAGAATTCACATTCCAGACTGCCAGAGGACCGGAATTTGCTACTGAGTGAGACAGGAACATGACTACGTCCTCCAGCAAAAAACGCTGTTGCCTCTCACTTGGCGAGAGAGTAGAGCCTAGGGTGATCCAGGCCCCGAGGAGTCAAGGAAAGGCGAATCGACGTGATTGGTCGCTGATCGAATTGGCATTGGAAAAAAACCCGCAAGTCCTATCCATCATCAAGAGCAAACAGAAGATCCTGAGCAGTTGGCTGTCAGAGACATCCAGGAAGCTTCGCCGCTTGTAAGGCGAAATACGGCGATCTGATCTCAGCAATGTGGGATTGGTTCGCAAAAGCTCGAGCGTGTTGTGCCACTTATAGGTCCTGTCCTTCAAGAGAAGGCTTTGCCGCTAGTGAAGCCAAGCGGTTGCTGCTTTGAACGCTTGGCAGTTCTATAAGATTGATGTACGCACCTGATTTCAAATGTATAGATCACCACTTCTTTGCGGTGACTCCGGTAAGTATATTGAAGTACACACATGTGTCGGATATGCCATGTTTGTATTATATCTACTGTAAGCAACAGGTTTAGTCCACCGAGGGCCAGTCGCGTATGACAGATTTGACTGATATATTGACAAATTGTTTTGTTTGACACTATGTCGTGCTGCAGATCATCTTCAAGCACAGGTGAAGGCGACAAACAGACTGAGCGAGGTAATACTCTCACTGTAGGACAGTTTGAATACTTGTGTGCAAGTGCGGTTGTGGGTGGGTGTGCGTGCGTGTAAGTGTTTGTGGGTGTGGGTGGGTGTGCGCGTAAGTGCGTGCATGCATGCATGTCTGCATGCTAGAATTAATGTTTTGCGTCTTTGTATGGGGAGCCGGCGCAAGTCATGCCAACCCGCCTGTATACACTAACCGTCTCGCTTTCTCTCTCTTCTTTCTCTCCAGCGGATCCTAGTCTTCAGCTATTTGTTGACAAAGAGGGCAGAACAGTTGTGTCTGGCAGATCCTCTGGCAGGTGAGTTTACCTTTTGCTTTTGCCATGCTTTGCATATGCTACTCCGGAAGATCACTTTTCTGAGGTTCTGCTTTTCCGGTGTTGATTGCGCTTCTGACAAGGCACAGCTTCTCGTTTATCACTGTGCATTTGCTCTGTGTACTTGTGTGTGTGTGTGTGTGTGTCCCAGCACAAGTTGCTATGTCTAAAACATAGCTGTTCGCTATCATCGCTCCCGCGATGGGCATGTCTGAGGTCTGAGGTGTGTGTGTGTTTATGTGTGTGTGTGTGTGTTTTAGGCATCTGGATCGTTACGTCCCCGTCAAGGTGGATAATGTCAAGAGCTGACAGCCCCTCACTGGAGCAGTCGCGCCAGCATCCCATGATGTACTCTATGGTACTATTGTGATGTCGTAGGGTGCGATGCAATACCCGGTGATGTCATGCAATCATGTCATCTACTGTGCTGTGTGATGTAATGCTTCTCTGTGGCACCTATGCTCATGTCTCTAACGTATATGAGCAGTGTGCCCTGTCTTCGACCCCCTCCCGCCCCTTGCATCCCCTATTGTTCCACCTGGTGTGGCTTTAATATATGCCTTTTCAAACTGCTGCTGCGCAGTGGTATTGGCGTTAGCAGAGCACGGTGTGTGTCGACGTATTTTTTATCATCTGTTAAAATCCAATGTAGCGCTAGCTGTTCCCTAGCATCCAAACACACATGCACGCACTTCCCACAAACCTTAGCTGATGTGCGCGATGAACTAGGCCCGTGTGTTCTCCTGTTTGTTTTTTAATTATTATTTCTATTTCCATTGAGAGAGGCTTGACTATATGTCTGTTGCTCACCCACCCCGCTTGTTGCCCGGCGCATTAACCGTGAAAGCCAGACCGGTCAGAACCAGTTATTTTTACGTGTGTTTGTCCAAACTCGCCCGACTATTACCTGCGGTAACTGTCAGTTTCCCGTTTGCTTTGTGTTTGATCAGATTCCACACCTGGAAGCCGTGTCAGTGTTTTTGTTTTTACATCGCCAGGCCCTGATAGCTGGGCTGGCTTCAATACCTTTGCTTAAAGCTTGTAGCTAATGTGAAAAATATAATGTAATACTTGTGAAGGGAATCGACCTCTTCTTCTCTCTTCTTTTTTTACAAGATATCCAACAAATCATGCTTGTGCGCAGGCGCGTGCGCCGGTGCCCTTCAAGGGGGGGGGGGGGTTCCGGGGGTTCTCTCCCCCCCCCCCCGGGAAATTTGTCAAAAAATGAAGCAAAATCTTGCATTTTGAGCGAAAAGGGGGGGTTCCGGGCACCCAGGAACCCATACGGGGCACGCGCCTGGTGCGGTGGCATGTGTGTCAATAGTAGGGCTCAAACGATTAGTCCGATTAACCGGTTGCAGACCGGTTACGAAGAATTAACGGTTAACCGATAAAGATAACGGTTACGCAGTAACTTTTCAGTCAATTTTTCAAGTATCAGGTCGTTGCAAAGTGTGCACTTTCGCGGGCTGTCGCACGCGTACGCAATTTCTGGGCTGTCAACTCGGTCATATCTGGTCTCTTGGTGTGAGAGTATGTATGAATGAGCATGCAAGAGAATGTACAAGTGTGCGTTGTACAATAGGGTACATTTTTTGAATGAGTAGAGAGGTCCCGCATAACGTAATTACGTTAGTAAAAAACGTAGTCGATCTACGGAAAGTCTTACGTAAACTGCATGCGCATCTGTGTTCCGCCATACGGAGTTTTCAAATCACTAAGCTGCCCTTGGCAACTCCGAACGCGGCAGTGTACGACCAGATCGAGCTGGGGAGAGAGTCATAAATTTGTACCTCAATCCACTTACGGACCAGCTACGTTATCAGAGCCCTATCTTAGTATCTACCATGATCTACGTACTCTACGTATTATTATTATTATTATTATTATTTAAACGTAGATAACTCTCCGTCAGTGGAGTGCAAACTCGCGAATTCACGGGTTTTCCCCGCCCACTAACGTAAAGTTGCTCAACTTTACGTAGTGCGGAACCTCTCTAATATAGTCAAATATACGGTTAAAGGGGAAGTTAAAGGGGAAGTTAAGGCAAAAATTATAATTTCACCAGTTGTAGTCTTCGGGGTGCTGAGTCGAATGGTCTTGGTCCGAGGAAGCTGAGACGCTCCCTTCCTACTTGAATCCCAATCGAACTCGCGCACTTCCACCGAAACTGGGTGACTGCGCCCTACGAGATGGGGATTTGTATGCAAAATGTCACTAAAAGCGCCATTTCGTTCTTATAAAAGCACGGATGACCGCGATTGGCCCATATGTTGTAGTCTTTTGGACGCTGAGTCGACTGGTTTTGGTCCGAAAAGGCTGCGATGTAGCGTTCCTCCTTTATTCCCAATCGAACATGGCTGAACAAGCGGTCACGTGCTCCTGGGTGCCCAAATCACCTGGTCACCACGCCAGCAGGCGACAAATTTCACACCAAGGTTCAACTCGAGTGACAGGAGTGCATAGCATCCAAAAAAGGTCAAACAGGCTAGTAAGTTGTACCCTGCAGGCACGGTGACCAGGTGACTGGTGTACGCAGGAGCACGTGACCGCTTGTTCAACCATGTTCGATTGGGAATAAAGGAGGAACGCTACATCGCAGCCTTTTCGGACCAAAACCAGTCGACTCAGCGTAGGGCTACCTGACCAAGACCCTATGCAGAGCTGGATCAGGCGTTGCACACTCTAGCTGGGGGGTTATGTACTCTTGGAACTTTCGGGCGTCCAGTGCTGATATAAGTGAGCGCCGAGCTTGATGTCTCTTGGTTATTCTCCTCACCCTCCGTCGCTAGTTCGTGGCTAGAACGAGCTGGGAGAACAGCTTTATAGCGAGGTCAACGCCTGCTAGTTGTGGGCAGTACCGTTTTGTTTCGGACGTTGAAAGGCTCACTGACTCCATTGTGCATTGAATGAAATGGCACAATACTTGTAGTCTTTTGGACGCTGAGTCGACTGGTTTTGGTCCGAAAAGGCTGCGATGCAGCGTTCCTCCTTTATTCCCAATCGAACATGGTCGAACAAGTGGTCACGTGCTCCTGCGTACACCAGTCACCTGGTCACCGTGCCTGCAGGGTACAACTTACTAATACTAGCCTGTTTGACCTTTTTTGGGTGCAGTCCTGTCACTCGAGTTGAACTCGAGTTGAACCTTGGTGTGAAAGTTGACTCAGCGCCCAAAAGACTACAACATATGGGCCAATCGCGGTCATCCGTGCTTTCATAAGAACGAAATGACGCTTTTAGTGACATTTTGCATACAAATCCCCATCTAGTCAGTTTCAAAAAGATTAGCAATCCTGGCGATCGCCCGGGGAGTTTGCCGTCTTACCGTATGAGCGCTGCGCTGCCTGGAAAAACTCACTGTCAACTCGAAGAAATATTCCGCGCGAAAGCATGAAAAATGACAACTCACTGACGTCGGTACTCGTACATGTTCGTCTGGTTTACAACAAACGAGTTCTTCCTCGCATCGATATGGCCAGTCAGAGAGGACATGTCGAAAGTGTGGTAAATTTTGACGAGCAGGATGCGTCCGTTTTGTGACCAAATAGATTCTTTGAGCTGCCGCGGATGCAATTTACTCTCACGATGTGACGAAAACGGCATTGACACATGAAAAATGACAACTCACTGACGTCGGTACTCGTACATGTTCGTCTGGTTTACAACAAACGAGTTCTTCCTCGCATCGATATGGCCAGTCAGAGAGGACATGTCGAAAGTGTGGTAAATTTTGACGAGCAGGATGCGTCCGTTTTGTGACCAAATAGATTCTTTGAGCTGCCGCGGATGCAATTTACTCTCACGATGTGACGAAAACGGCATTGACACAGACTCATTCCCAAGGCCTTGAAGTGGCAGAGCTATCCCTGTGACTTCGACGACATTTTGAGAAAAGCAGACGCCTGTGAAAGCTTATAGAAGACGGTGTTGGCTCCTAAATTCAAATAAATTGGCGATCTTCAGTTACTAAAATAATTCTCAAACAGAAATCGATAGATCGATGTGCCGGTGTATTCAACAACACGTAGCTACAGCACAATGACTTCCGTGTTCACAACTAATACTTCAAATGGCGTGAGCCAGTCAAGTGTCAGTCAGTTCGGCAGGAAACGCGAGCTCCAACAACAAGTCGTTTGGCGCAGCCACCTTCTTTGTCTTGTACCAGCGTGATCACCAAAACAATAAAAAAATCAAGAAAAAATATTTGACTTGAAGATTTGTTGGGATTTGGACTCACAACTTCAAGGTCAGCAGACAGCATGCATAACCACAAGGCCAAAAAGGAAGGGATAAATCGTGGGTTTTGATAACAAATCGATACTGGCTTCCAGGGCAAATTATAAACCATGGGGAAAGGCCAGAAACCTGGCCGAAATACTAACTCCTTAACGGTTGGTCCAATTGTTCTGAAACCTTCACAGAACAATTTGCCGTGCCCTTACAAGCCGTTTTATGTGCTTTGTTGTCCAAATTTCCCTTATCTTCATACTTTTTAAGACCCAAACTTGATTGCTAATCTTTTTGAAACAGACTGTAGTAGGGCGCAGTCACCCAGTTTCGGTGGAAGTGCGCGAGTTCGATTGGGATTCAAGTAGGAAGGGAGCGTCTCAGCTTCCTCGGACCACGACCATTCGACTCAGCACCCCGAAGACTACAACTGGTGAAATTTTAATTTTTGCCTTAACTTCCCCTTTAAAAAAGAGTCCGCAGGATTGCCGTGGCTTATAGGTTATAACCAGTTAACCGACCGTTAGCTTAGCAGTTAACCGTCAGGGGTAAAACCGTGACCGTTCTAGCCCTAGTCAATAGTACACTACGGACACACAGTTCTCGCACCACACAAACGCACTGTTGCAGAAGAAGGATCCACCGGCGGGATTCTAACCCAGCACCCAGTGTTTTCCGGAACAGTGCCCTACCGATTAGGCTACCGGGGATCACACACACTCGACGCGTACTCATAATTATCATGGGTCCTCTCGCAGTACTTATAGACGATCAGCGGACAACATTTTGCCTGTATACTTTGAACTCATACTTATCTCCTTGCATGGTTATTGATACTCAGTCAACCATCGGATCCTAATACAATCATGTAAAACATTATTACTGCAGGACACTCCGGTCGACCACATTCGCACAAACTCCGGGTCGCACAAATCAGACTCCGATGCAAGTATACTGATCCTTCAGGCAACCGCCTCGGCCTACAGATACAGACTGTGAGAGTGAACACTGCATGATTAGGCTAGCTTTCGCTTTAGAAGAACTACATAATAATTTGTAGTACTAGTATTTGTAAGAATGGGTTTGCTCCCCACACCGGAGCTCGCGCTATTCCGCCGACTTTACTTGACACTTGACTGACTCACGACTGCAATCCAGAGCACACGAGAAGTCCATCAAACCTTCGACTCGGCAAGCCTGCAAGAAAGCACCACTCCCTGCTCAATACACAGTGTTTCGGGGAATTCACCCCTCATCAGTTGAGCTTGAGTAGGCTAAGGAAGATTGTGCCTGAAGAGCACCACTTATATAGTGCTCTCCAGGCACAAACATCACCAGGGATACAAACTTACAGAGACGCTCCGTTTCCAGCGCGACAAACACCTCGTGAACACCAGATAGCAGCGTGAGTGAGTGTCGCTCCTGGACGGTGAGTCGAAACACTGTGTATTGAGCAGGGAGTGGTGCTTTCTTGCAGGTTTGCCGAGTCGAAGGTTTGATGGACTTCTCGTGTACTCTGGATTGCAGTCGTGAGTCAGTCAAGTGTCAAGTAAAGTCGGCGGAATAGCGCGAGCTCCGGTGTGGGGAGCAAACCCTTTCTTACAAATCACCGCCGAAGTCGCAACCACTACTTCGTACTGTTGTGCCCAGCGCGGGCTTGCGACTAGTTGGTTTGGAGGTGACAGCGTTGCGAATGACCGAGGGTCCTCGACGTCTGTCTCACCGTCCAGGAGCGACACTCACTCACGCTGCTATCTGGTGTTCACGAGGTGTTTGTCGCGCTGGAAACGGAGCGTCTCTGTAAGTTTGTATCCCTGGTGATGTTTGTGCCTGGAGAGCACTATATAAGTGGTGCTCTTCAGGCACAATCTTCCTTAGCCTACTCAAGCTCAACTGATGAGGGGTGAATTCCCCGAAACACTGTGTATTGAGCAGGGAGTGGTGCTTTCTTGCAGGTTTGCCGAGTCGAAGGTTTGATGGACTTCTCGTGTACTCTGGATTGCAGTCGTGAGTCTGTCAAGTGTCAAGTAAAGTCGGCGGAATAGCGCGAGCTCCGTTGTGGGCCGGGGAGCAAACCCTTTCTTACAAATCATCGCCGAAGTCGCAACCACTACTTCGTACTGTTGTGCCCAGCGCGGGCCTGCGACTAGTCAGTTTGGAGGTGACAGCGTTGCGAATAACCGAGGGTCCTCGACGTCTGTCTCACCGTCCAGGAGCGATACTCACTCACGCTGCTATCTGGTGTTCACGAGGTGTTTGTCGCGCTGGAAACGGAGCGTCTCTGTAAGTTTGTATCCCTGGTGATGTTTGTGCCTGGAGAGCACTATATAAGTGGTGCTCTTCAGGCACAACCTTCCTAAGCCTACTCAAGCTTAACTGATGAGGGGTGAATTCCCCGAAACACTGTGTATTGAGCAGGGAGTGGTGCTTTCTTGCAGGCTTGCCGAGTCGAAGGTTTGATGGACTTCTCGTGTGCTCTGGATTGCAGTCGTGAGTCAGTCAAGTGTCAAGTAAAGTTGGCGGAATAGCGCGAGCTCCGGTGTGGGGAGCAAACCCTTTCTTACAAATCATCGCCGAAGTCGCAACCACTACTTAGTACTAGTATTCATAACTCTATTGGATAAATCTGATCTCTCTCTATCTATCTCTCCATCTCTCTTTATCTCTCTCTCTCTCTCTCTCTCTCTCTCTCTCTCTCTCTCTCTCTCTCTCTCTCTCTCTCTCTCTCTCTCTCTCTCTCTCTCTCCCCCCCCCTCCCCTATTTCACTCTATCTATCTCTTTATCTCCCAACAACAACAACTCTCTTATTGGCGATGGTGCCTTCGTGAGAATAAAGAATTCAACAACAACTACAACAACAACAACAACAAAATCGGACACCTCTTTCAGACTCGTAGACTCTAGAACTACGCCCTTCGAACTTCGAAGCTTCATTCATGGTAAAAATGACTCATTCAAGTAACTTAGTTTGGGACATCACCAGATCACGTGGATCAATCTGTACTCCGACTGTAGTGTAGGAGGTTACACAGCAGCGAGTCGTTACCGCAATCAATCGTTGCACGCACATAATATACTACACTGATGATACAGACAGTACAGAGTAGTCTTCTGCCAAGGGCGAAACCTTTTTCGTTCCAAGATCTCTACAACTGGAAATAATACCTGTAAGTCTAAGGCTGTATACAGTACAAGGATAGGTAGGTTCTCTGGCCTGCCGTATTCCTTGTTCGTTTATAGTTCATTGAGAGCTCCTCGGCAAAATGAGGTTGTGGCTAGCGCTGCTGTTGGCTTTCTCCGGCCAGTGTCTGGCCGATGAGATACTGGTGGAGCCTGCAGCCGGCACAAAGCCGCATATAGTAATGATTTTAGTTGACGACTGGGGATGGGCTAACGTCGGCTATCACCGTGACCCACCCACGAAAGAGGTTCAAACGCCGAACTTTGATTCTCTGTGCAAGGAAGGTATCGAATTGGACCAGCACTATGCGTATAAATTCTGCTCTCCGTCACGCTCTTCGTTGATGAGCGGACGCTTGCCAATTCACGTAAATATTCTCAACGACCCACCGAATGTTTACAATCCCAACGACACTGTGTCGGGTTACGCTGCCATTCCACGGAACATGACGGGCATGGCCGCCAAGCTCAAGGCAGCGGGCTATGCCACACATCAGGTGGGAAAATGGGACGCTGGAATGGCCACGCCGGACCACACGCCCGTGGGCCGTGGCTTTGACACATCGTTTGGCTACTTCCACCATGCCAACGACTATTGGACGGAGCAAGCAGGTGGATGCAAGAAAAACAAGAAACATCTCAACGTCACCGATCTATGGATGACGAGCGGGCCAGCCGATGGCATCAATGGCACAGACTATGAAGAAGCGCTGTTCAAGAAACACGTACTGCAGGTAACAGGCGATTCTTTTAGAAAATGCGGTACTCTATTGCATGCTGCATGACATGCATGTACAAAATAATGATGGAGTACTTGTACTCCAGGGTATGAGGGAAATCTTTACATCAAGCTCGCTTATCCAACACTCAAGCACATAATTATTTTGGTATAATCCAATGGCAGACCGCGCATTGCAATGTAGACTATAGGGTGGCTTGAACAGCCGTCGGGCCTGGCTAGTCATTCTGCTATTTTTGATGTATTCTTTCAATCTAGTTTTGTAGAGTAGATTTTGAGAAAGGTGCATGCAAAACGTCCGCAAAGGTTTGTCGATGACAAATTCTTGGCTAATACGGTACATGGACTTTCATTTTCAAAGAAACCACTGTGCAGCTATGCCAAAGATGATGGCATGGGGGCAGGATGGGTAGCATGCCATCTGGGATAATTATAGCTACTAGTAGTGGGACCTTTGGTACAGGGGGCCACTTGAGCTTGGCTGTAATTCTTATCTTACTCCGTTGTCTCCCATAGACCGTCCTTGACCTTGGGTCTGGTCAACGCACACCCACCACTCTGCAAGTACAAGCTAAATTTGTGCATTTATCCTTGATGGTGGCGATGTTCCTGTTTGGATCATGTTGTGTGGAAAGCTCTCGGTTTAGAGTTTCATACGAGACGTAGCACTATTGAAGGTGACCTTATACCTATGATGCACTACATACATGTTGCATGCTCTGTGCTTGCATCAATGTTTCCCTCGCCTTTAATAGTCTTCTTCTTCTATCTTGTTTTATGGCAATGGCACACGCTCAGGTCATCTCGTCTCACCCAGCAGATACTCCTCTGTTTCTCTACTATGCGCCGCACATTGCTCACACGCCACTGCAAGTGCCCCAGGACTACCTGGATCGGTACGCGTTCATCGACACCGTTGACCGCCGCATCTATCATGCCATGGTTGCCTACCTTGATGACGTCATTGGAAACTTGACGGCAGCACTCAAGGACCGCGATCTGTGGGACAATACACTGATAGTCGTAAGCAGTGATAATGGTGGACCAGTTTACCCCGGGGGTGGCGCGAACAACTATCCTCTTAGGGGCGGCAAGGTGACCAATTGGCAAGGAGGGGTCCGCGTCAACGCATTCGTTTCTGGCGGATTTCTTCCCAGCGGAATGCGGGGCCAGAAGTTGGATGGCTACGTCGCACTGGCTGACTGGTACGCCACATTTTGCTCCCTGGCTGGTGTGGACAAGACGGATCAGCGTGCTAAAGAAGCTGGACTGCCACCCGTGGATGGGCTGGACATGTGGCCGATGCTGTCGGGCCAGAACACGACATCACCGCGCACTGAGATTCCGCTGAGCCCGGGCTTGATCAGTGGTGATTACAAGATACTGGTGGGTAACAACGATCAAGCAGGCTGGACGGGTCCGCAGTACCCTAACCAGACCAACCCCAAAGGCGGCATCAGTAGTAATGTACAATGTGGCTCTGACGGCTGTCTCTACAACATCAAGACCGATCCCGAGGAGCGCAACAATCTTGCGGCGGGGTCACCTGACATTCTCGCGCACATGCAGGCAAGGCTAAAGGCCTGGGAGAGCACGGCGTTCAATCCTGACCGTGGACAGCAGTGGGCCGGAGCATGCGAAGTGGCTCTGGATAAGTATGGCGGCTATTGGGGACCTTTTCTGCCGTAGCCGGGGGTTAATGATACAACGTCTTGTGTCATACTGATAGCCTGACCACATTGCTGCTTTGCATCTCTCATTGCAGCAATGAAATTGCATACTAGTGTTGCCAATTTCTTCTTCACAGTGCACCTCTCCCTCTCCCCTCTTTCTCTCTCCATCTCTACAAGTACTGTGGTATTGATCAGGCGATGAACTCATCCTGGTCACCATCCATCCCTGAAATAATATCATTATGTATAATTTGAATCAATTTCCCGCCTTACTCCCCCTTATGTTCTGGCTGCCCGTTTTGGATCCATCAGTTGCGGCCTGATGATCGTAGTAATACGTGGAAACTCAGAGTTGTAACAAAGCTTCCAATCTCTCCAGTCTTGTGTATCATTATGACGTGATTGTATATTATATTACCAGAATAACAATGGCAATCAAGGCTTGTTTGCTGCTACTCAATGTTTCATGCTCTCCCAATCACCAGGCAACATGCATGAGGATGGGGTGCCGACCATGCCGGATATATGCCAGGAGAGGGTGGGTCTTAGCACAGTAGGAAAGGTTGTGTGTGAACGTGGGGGCTGTATAGGTTTCAGGGCTAGAGGTGTTATTTTAGGCAGGAGGCTGTGTGCAGAGTGTGTGGTTGTTGTAGGCAGGGAGCTGTAGAAGCAGTGACAGGGCCAGCAATGCAATGTTAGCGCAGAATCTTATGTACTACAAGTAGTATATATTACAACATCTCAAGACTCAGAGGAAACTCCCGCCATGCGCCAGTGCAAAAGCCAACCACAGCGATAAATATAGGTGAGGGTTAGGAGGAAACACAAACGAGTAGCAAAAAAGCAAACCTAACTGCTAGCTACTGTGCCGGCATTTGAATGTGTTGTGCTCCTGGGATTGCATTCATGTTCTCATAATGCACCAAGAATTCATACATGCACAACATGTGAGTACATATCCGATGATAGATCTACACGTACATTGACGGTCAACCCCTAGAATCGTAGACCGGCAGGTGACGTGCCACTGCCTAGGCATCAAAACCATGACAACTCAGCATCACAACTCAGCATGCAGCAGAACGAGGCTGGGCTTCGGCTAGAGCCGTGAGCCAAAACCAGGGAGCCGTGATCATGCCGATGCGGCGATGGTGATTCTCTGGCCAAAACCATAGTATTAGTACTACAGTGGTCCCTCTATAATCCGGCACCATTTGTGCCACGAAAATCTGCTGGATTAGGGAGGGTGCTGAATTAACAAATCTGATCTACTGCTGCAATGTGCATGAAGAGGACATTTGGCTACTGAAAATTGTGCCGGTTTATCGAGGGTGCTGGATTATAAAGTGCCGGATTAGAGAGGGACGACTGTATTACTACTGACTGTATTACTAAGCAAAAGAGTTGTACTGCAGTACTAGTAGTATCCCAGTACTAGCAGTAGCCCTATGCCGGCTATGGTCCTCCCGTCCGGAATCACAATCAGTGTGCTCACTGCTCAATGCGATCTCGTGATTCCATGCCACGCCGGGCACTGTGCCGCCCTTGTACTAGATAAGTACAGTACTAAAGACTAAGTAGTACTCCATCCCATGCTGGATCAGTGGATGGTGAACTGGTGCCGTGGTGGGGAGCGGTTCAGCCTTCAGGGCGCAAGCGCACGCGATCCGATTTCATTGAGCAGCACTACACCGAGAGCGAGATCTACGAGACTACGGACGGTAGAGTTATGCATGCTACAATGTAGGTGAGGATCTGCTTGTGAAGCTAGTATACCATGGACAGTTGGTATACTGTGCTGTGTACAGCTTTGCCCTAGAAAGGCGAAATCATGTGGACTCGCTGGCTGGCCGGCTAGCACAAGGGGGAGTCGCATGTATGCAGCTATCCGACCTAGGAGGACTGGTAATCATGGTCATGGTTACCAGTGGATCTGTACTTCCGAGCTCCGGCTACGCCTTCCGCGTCTTTACTACCCCGCACAGCTAGCTAGCATAGTAGCTGCTGCTTGCTGTAGACCAGGGAGTCGTAGGGTCTACGACTCCCTGCTGTAGACCATGCATGGTAGACATGATCCCGCTGTAGACATCCCGTTGCACGAACAGGGTGGTGACTGGTCGACCGGTCTGTGCATGTACAGAGTCAGTGCTGGCACCTGAAATCCGACCCCTGAGCGGTGAGTTCACATTCTTTGCGATGTGAGCCCACCGCTCAGGGGTCGGATTTCAGTTGCCAGCACTGTACATGTGTAGTATCACTGTATGTGGCGAATGATCTGATGATGGGAGTGGGCAGATCCACTCCGCGATCGCGCGAGGCCGAGGCTAGGTCGACAGTTGTGAACGACGTACTTTTGACCTGGCGCGAAAGTTTTCCTTGTTTCGACGAACTTTCGGGCGTCCAGTGCTGATATAAGTGAGCGCCGAGCTTGATGTCTCTTGGTTATTCTCCTCACCCTCCGTCGCTAGTTCGTGGCTAGAACGAGCTGGGAGAACAGCTTTATAGCGAGGTCAACGCCTGCTAGTTGTGGGCAGTACCGTTTTGTTTCGGACGTTGAAAGGCTCACTGACTCCATTGTGCATTGAATGAAATGGCACAATAGAAGCGCAGCGGTGTAAGCTAAGCAATACCGTGCATTTCATCGCCCGCAGAGCACACACACAGTGCTCAAGGAGATGGTAAGTCCGAAATAGGTGCGCTTCGCTTGTGTGAACCCTTCCCGTTCCTTTCTCGCTGCTTTTCTGCTGAGCAATCCTTCCTTCTTTATGTGTGCGCGTGTGTGTACGTGTGCGGTGTGCGTGTGTGTGCGTGCGTGTGGCCGTGTGCGTGCCTGCGTGCGTATGTACCGGGGGAGGGGCGTGGCCGCGTGCAAGTATTTTCTAATGCATCGTGGACAGCAAAAAAGTGCCAAGTGCACTAGCTACCCTCTTTACTAAGGCTTTAGTTCTGCACAGAATGATGTCTTCGATGAGGATGATGAGCCGCTTACTTGTACATGTACACTCATACTGCATCTCTCTTACCTGGGCACTCTGGAACCAGGCACTGCCCACAACTTTGAAGTGTCTATTACTCTGGCTCTTGTTGAGTACTCTCTGTAGGCTGCCCTTGGCGCTCTAGTGCTGCTGCATCACGCATTGCCCACTACATTTCGTGGTTAGAGCACTCTGGCGCTAGAGCGGCAAGCTATCTTAAAATGTCTGTGGTTCCTCCTTTGCACCATACTAGCTGGTAGCTCGGCTTGCTTAAAGCTCGTAGCTGTACTGATGAGGCCTCTATGGCCGAAACAGCTTGTTGTCTACAGCATTGGTTAGCTCTGGATCACATTATTGTATTTTTCAATAGGAAGGGGCCGGAGATCTGGCACGTGACGGCAATATTTCCACAAAATTAGCTCAAGACGGTCAAAAGTCTATATATTTCCACTAGATCTCACTTAGATGGTGCCCGGCGAAGTGGTCTTTAGTACCAGGCTGGTCGCTAGTCACGGTGGTCTTTAGTACCAGGCTGGTCGCTAGTCACGGTGGTCTTTAGTACCAGGCTGGTCGCTAGTCACGGTGGTCTTTAGTATCAGGCTGGTGGCTAGTCACGGTGGTCTGTAGTACCAGGCTGGTCGCTAGTCACGGTGGTCTTTAGTACCAGGCTGGTGGCTAGTCACGGTGGTCGTTAGTACCAGGCTGGTCGCTAGTCACGGTGGTCTTTAGTATCAGGCTGGTGGCTAGTCACGGTGGTCTGTAGTACCAGGCTGGTGGCTAGTCACGGTGGTCGTTAGTACCAGGCTGGTCGCTAGTCACGGTGGTCTTTAGTACCAGGCTGGTGGCTAGTCACGGTGGTCGTTAGTACCAGGCTGGTCGCTAGTCACGGTGGTCTTTAGTACCAGGCTGGTCGCTAGTCATGGTGGTCTATAGTACCAGGCTGGTGGCTAGTCACGGTGGTCGCTAGTCATGGTGGTCTATAGTACCAGGCTGGTGGCTAGTCACGGTGGTCGTTAGTACCAGGCTGGTCGCTAGTCACGGTGGTCGTTAGTACCAGGCTGGTCGCTAGTCACGGTGGTCTTTAGTACCAGGCTGGTCGCTAGTCACGGTGGTCTGTAGTACCAGGCTGGTCGCTAGTCACGGTGGTCTTTAGTTACAGGTTTTACTGTACTTGACATTGGCTTGTAGTACGGCCTAGCAGTATGCACATTCCGATGTGTATAAAATAGAAGAAAAACACCTGGGCGTGAGTCATGAAGCAACTGTCTAAGTTATCCACGACTGTAACAAGATAATATTAAATGGTTTGCACACTGGAGATGTGTTAGAGCTACGGAGTAGGTCTCAGGTCGTTGAATGTCTCAGTAGCCTGTCAGTTTTGTGCCCTGTCATCGCACTTTCTGACTTTCTTGGTACAGCCGTGGATAGTTGCTTCGTAACTAGTTCCCATGTGTTTTTCTTCTATTTTATATTTCTTACTGGCTGAGTATCCGAGTTAAATTCCGATGTGTATGTTTTTATTACTTAAAGTATTTAAAAAAATTTAAATAAGAATTTGTTTTCTTGTGTTGATGTCCTGTTGTGTGTAGGCTGACGCTGATGACGAGGGTCAGACCGGAGAAGAGAGAGGATTACGTTCGTTACCGGTCTCGAATGCTCAGGCTTGGAGCACGGACCCGGCAGCGGATTCTCTAGTCCGTCCACCGGATAGTGAGCCGTCCGAGTTTCTCAGGCCACTGCTGGATGAGGAAGGGCCCGAAGCTGCTGATGCACCGCGCAGAACACATGATGCTGATGGTGAAGTACCAAGCGGCACCGTAAGCCCGCGTGACGAAAATGTCTTCTCCGATGGAAGGCACACATCGGTGCAACCCAGCAGCAGCAGCAGCAGCAGCAGCAGCAGCAGCAGCAGCAGCAGCAGCAGTGATGAAATTACACTAAGAACAGTCCTGGGACATATCAATCAGAGAAGAAACCCCGGGAATGCTGACACTCCACTGCCAGATGCCGGTGGCGATGAGACTGAACGCAACACCGGCAATTCACCACAAAACCCAACCGGAGCTCAAAACTCGGAGCCGAGGACATCACCATATCCAAGAGAGGCACTCTGGAGCTTGTGTGGGAAGCCGCCGGACACAACTGGGAAGCCGAACACAAATATAAAGGCGTTTGAGAAGTATCTCACTGAAAGGAAGGAGCACATGGATGAGCTGCTGGAAGACATCGGAAAGTAAGTACAACATATCCATGCCGCTTACCTCAGGTTTCCTGCTCATCTCTCAATTCTCTTCATCCAGGCCACTGTAATGAAAAAAATTGGCTCTAAGGTCGTTCGTTACCTGTGTGTGTATCGGCGAGAGTGGGCAAATTTCTTTTTTCCTTTCATCAAAAGTTTTCATTCAAGCAACAGGGCCACATGTTGACATCATACCTGCCAAGTATCCAGATTTTTTCAGGATTATCCCGCAATTTGGATGAACTCCCGCGATCTCGAAATTCCTGTCGATTATCCCGAAATTCACTGTACAAGAAACAAGCTTGATATTGTACTTGTAGCACTTCAAATGACTTGTCACAGGCCAGTAGTTGTCCTTGTTGGTTCCGTACTACCATTGCCTGCAGTTCCAGTCGATCTACTAGTGCTCCTTCCATGAAAAGTCCATGAAAAACCGTTTTTGAGTCTTGGACATGCGTGAGTGTGATGCGATGATCACCATCATCTACACTGTGTACATGTACATGTATTATCGAAATGTTGGTGCCATCAAAAGTATAAAAAAGGATATTTTTTGGAAAAAAATATGACATGTCCCGAAAACCAAGGCAAATCCCAGGATTTTGCCATGGCGATCCAGAAAAAGCACTCTCAGTACTTGGCAGGTATGTGACATATCATTGCGCTCGTCCGGATTGCTCCTTTTCAGGCCCATAAACAACTCACTTTTCCATGCATGTGGGGGTGTAGGTGGTGGTGGCAGTGGCGGCGGCGGCGGTGGTGCCGGAATGTCATGGCCGCGTCGGCGGATTTGTGACCTGGCTTAGATCAGTCTAGTGGCTACCCAGGTAGAAGACCAATATCGTCGCCATCCAAGTTAGCTAGCTCACACAGAACAACAGGTTTCTATTTCCACTGGAACAGTGGTTATTGAACCATCGCAGTGCTAGATCGAAAGATCATGCGTGAAGAGTCAAAGACCCAAAGCAGGGGAGAGTCAGAGTGACTCACCCAGAATCGGGAGTGAATCGAGGGAGTAGTGGGCTCCCCGAGAGTCGAGGATGAATGCCAGCAAAACAGCTCCTTATATGCTGCTGTTAGGTGCCTGCTCCCGTACAATCTTACCTACAACCTTTCCTAAGCTGGCTGGCCTGCATGCACCCGTACTACGTTATACTCACCGTTCGTTCCGTTGGCCTGGGTAGCTACTTGCGCGCCCATGTTTGCCATAGCTACCCAGGCCCTTTATATTGCGTTGATTCTCAGTCGAGCTGTCTCTCTTCAAATAATCTCGCTCTCTTCAATAATCTCACTCTTCAACGTAGTCGTTCGTTCGTCTTGGTCTCTTGTCTCGTCGTCTATAATGAATGTCGTTCCCAATAACTTGCTCCCGTTGTCCATTGTAATGTCTGGAGAAGATGTCGTCAGTCGTCCTTCTTCGGACTCAACACTACATTATGTGATCAAAAGTATACAGCGGCAAGAAATGCGTAATTATTGCTGCTACAGTTCAACCAGTGGTGCATGCAGTCAGTCAAACTAGAATGTACTACAAAGATCAATACGGGGAGCCCGCTCACCCAAATGTGAATATTAGTACTGATCTCCAAATGCTGGCATGGTCTTGGTCTACGATCCGGTGGACTGTGATGCATTGCAGCAGGTGGGAAGCGTAGCTGCATCCTTCGTGTAGGTTCACCCAATATGGGCCCTTCCCCCAAAGATAACAGCAGACGGCAATGCCATGCGTATTCCCTCCAACGGGCATGAGGTCTAGAGTACGCGAAGTACCGTCGACCCTTTGCGTCTTACGACACGAGAAGAGGCTCCACTCTTGCTCAACTAACAAAGGTATCAGCTCCCTTGCAGGACTAAGCGTGGTCCCCTCAAGCTCAATAGTGTAATGGGTACAACTTGTACTGAAGGTGTAGCCGACGTAGGACAACACTTTGCGGCTCTAGGCCACGAGTTATAAGCCATGATTGCTCAACTAACGAAAGTGCCAAATCCTTCGCAGGACTATTCATGGTTCTTAGGCTGCGTTTACATGAGAAATTTCAACTCGGGTCGAGTTCAGCCCGGGTTGAAAGTCTGTACAATAGACAAAATAGGTGAGCATTTACACGAAGACAGTTGACCCGGGTCAAATACTGATAAACCGCCAAAAGTCCACTTCAAGAGTCCTGTATTGTCACGTGAATACTTTTGCGCGAAATTTGCATGTACAGTGCTGTTCAAACCTGGCGCGAGATACGCACAGAAGTACGTTAGTACGATTTCTCGCCCCGGGTTGAAATCAATCCGGGCGAAATTTCAACCCGGGTCAAGCACAATGTGTCATGTAAACGCGCCATTCGTTTAGTGTACATGAAAATGAAAATGAAAATTCGACGGGTTCGCGTACCGGGCAGGTCAAGAACAAGGAGTCCGAGTCGTATAACTCCCTGGTCAAGAACCACGTTCCGCTTCCGTGGGACGCCACCACCCCATGATCAGGCGTCAGATGCGGCTCCTAAACAATGGGGGGAGGATAGATCAGATCCACCAATTCATTTTGTGTACATGGCGGGTTGAAATCTGACCCGGTCGAACTCAACCCGGGTTGAACACTCTCATGTTAAGTTGTAAACACAGCCTTACAGAATATTTCGGAGCCCAGCTTTTGGCTGCTGAACTCAATGCGTGGTCGCTTTCACGACGAGTGCGATCCGGGTGTGTGGTAAACACAGGCTTCCCATGTAAAGAAATGACTCTGATAGGAGACTGGTCATTTCCATAGCAATGCTCAATGAGCCAATTCTGGTAACAAGATTTGCTCATGCAACTTTGTTCTTTTGCTGGTTGACTATGGTGCAGGAACTCTATCCTCGAACGGCTTATTGAGCAGAATCAGCCAGAGAAGCTGAAGAAACTTCTTGAAACCTGTGTGAGTTGTATTGTGCGTTGCTTGTTGTAATGTACACTTAGTTACTGCATGCTTGTGGCACACGACAGTCACAAGCAACACGAGGAGTATAATTATTGTTGGTAGTGTCATTACGAAGGTAAGCAAAAGAATGACCCAAGCATGCCCATAGCAACCAGGTAAGGGCCAGCAGCCATGATGAGAAATACCGTAGACATGCGCGAATGGAGAAGGTTGTACAAAGCGAAAGGAGATAAGATCGTACGGAGAGGCAGCGAGAGAGCAGCATGCAGCGACGTCAATACGAACTGAATGCAGTCTATAACATTGCTCATGATAGTTGTAAGCTGCTCTGCCTAAACATTCCTTTCCCCAGGCCTAAACATTCCTTTCCCCAGGCACTCTTATGGGACAGTCTTGTACATCGGCTACAAAATGAACACATAGGTTCACTTCAAGGGAAGTCATAGGTTCACTTCAAGGGAAGTCATAGGTTCACTTCAAGGGAAGTTGGTTCGAGCAGGCATGCTCTTTCCTAGGTACAATGCAACAACCCAAAACTCCTTGCAGTCATTGTCTCAACGTTTAGGCAGCATTACCATGATTAGGTTTGCAAGATTACAAACATTTAGCAAACATGACTAGCTTCACAACCCAGCTTCTTTCTTAGTTTACGGCCGGTGATGAAGATGATGATACAGACTCATGACTCACGCTGTAGTCTCTTATAAAACCCGGTACTCTTCAAATGCCGGCACGATTTTCAGACATCAAAAGTATTTGATTTATGTAGGCAGTAACTGGAAAGGAATCATGGCATGTACGCATCACATCAGTTAAGGTAGCTCAGGCCTATATTGCGAAAAATATTCCAGACATGGCCAAATGTCCGATTTTGCTCAAAGCCGGCTCATTTTATCCCCGGGTGGACCTCGTTCGCCAACTATGATAGCTTAATCAGATTTGTCAATCTGCCATGCAGAATGCCCATCTGTGACTGGTTGCCTGACTTTGGTCGGGGATGCAATGTAGTGGGGATGAGCACCACGCACACTATCAGAGCTCACCACGACCGCAAAAAGCGTCAATAACGGTGATTTGGATTTGACCAATTAGCGCACGGCAAAATGGGCCGGTTCTTGCAATTGTGGGGTACTGTCTGAGCTTAACTTGGCTGTATTCGTTGGTTTTACATATTAGGCCTTTGTGGATTCGTGTTCAGAAGGTGTGTCTTTGGAGGGTTATCATCTAGAATTTTTCGATTTGGCCTTCGTTTGCCTGAGATCGGATGGTGAAATCACTCAAACATGAAAAACGTGCAAACAAGTGAATGAAGAGAAAATATAGAAATCGGGGACGGTCAACCGATAGATAATTCCAAGACCGAGAAAATGAGCTATCGACGGTGAGAATTGGCTAAGTAGAACCGCAGTTCTACTTTTTTGAAGACATCAAGGTTGGTCGTGCGCTCCAGGGCGCACCAACAAAACCGGGTAGCGGTACGCATATCTGCAAGTGCAACAAGAAAGGACCGAGGAGACAGCAAGCGTTCCTAGGGAAGAGTTTACCTTCGTGTTGACTCAAGCTAAGGACTCAAGCTAGTCAGGGATCATACCAGTCACTTGTCATCATGGTCATGACTAAGGAATTCATTTGTGGCCAGGAAACTCCACACTCGCAGGGTGAAAGCTGCGAGGCCAAACAGAAAAGAGTGTGCCGAGTTGTGATCAGGAAGTTCTACTGACAACATTGGTTAGCTTAGGCGCTGCAAATTCTTGTAGATCCCAGGACTCCCGTTCACCAGTATCCCATAGACATATTTTAGTTGACAAGCACCAGCGGATTGAGAAAAACGGCCAAGATGGATTGGAGAAAGGAAGTCTTCTCCGCGTGTCTTTCCCAGCATCACACAACAAGATTCTCTTCGGTACTGGCCCTTCGCTGTACAGACTAGACCAGGGAGTCGTAAGATACTGGTACTTTACGACTTGACTGTACACTGCTTTACACCGATCAGCATGAACTCGGGTGCGTAGCCGCTATGACTGCACATACTCTGGCCTCCGCGGCCGTCGCCATTTTTTTCAAAATGGTGGTCGACGCTCTTTGAATTGTGCATGGTCGTGGTGAGCCCTGACTATGTCTAGCTCCGGTGTAGAAGTGAGCGGTCGCAAACACATTCTTCCCGGTGATAAGAATTGGCTACTATGCGGTACCCTTCTCTTTACCTGTGTACCCCACCTCCTGAGTGCCTCACCATAGCTACCAACATACCAATAACATCTACCTTCTCTTGTGGTCTTTAACGTCTCTTTCAGGAACCACTGGACGCAAACACTGCCGACGACAACGATGGCGAGACACCGCTGCATAGGGCTGTGCAGAAAAACCGACCAGAGTGTGCGTGTGTGCTAGTCGAGTGTCGCATGTCGAGACTGGCCAAGAATCGTGGCATCAGGACGGACCAAACATCTGCTGGCGGCGATGCTCCACGTGCCTACATTAAAGACGTGGAACCAAAAGAGGACCAGATATTGTTCTATCTACCAATGGAGATCGTTGGTAAGTGCCTGTGACCATCTATTGAATACGTCTTACCTAGTTTGAAGCAGCTTGTTCTGGGTCAAAGTCAGGGCTGCCGGAACCGGTCCGGTTGGTCAGGTTATCACCAGACCAACATTTTAGCCACCACGTCACGCAAAATTACGCATCTATGAGCGACATCCACATGTCGTCAGTTTAATTGGACGAACTGTCGCTCTCCTCGCCACTCCACACAACAACAAAAGACTCGTGCACACTGGGAGAGAGAGCGTTTTCTCTAACTTGCTTTCAGTAAGGGGACTGGAGAACTGCGCTCCAACAAAACGGACAAGAGAATATATTATGGGGACGTGGAGAAAAGAGGGGAAAAAGTGGGGTGAGGGATACTAAAGAGGTGCCTGTGCAAAGTACAACAAGGCCTGAACAGGACGGGAGACAAAGACGAACGACGGGGAAATACGACGGACACAAGACGGCAACCAGACAAATACAACGGAGACAAGACGAGAGAATGTGTATGCAACGGGGACGAGATTAGAAATAATGCATACGGAGGGGACAGAAGACGGTGCAGCGGCATGTACAAAGCATTCCAAGACAGCGCAGCGGCGTGTACCACGGGTCAGCAGCATGTACGACACAGAGACACATACGCAGCCACGTGTACGACAAAAGAGACACAAGCGCAGCCACATGTACGACAAGAGACACCAGCGCAGCCGCATGTACGACACAGAGCTACAAGCGCGACCACATGTCCAACACACAGAACCTGTTGGGAGAGTACGCGTGTACTCGAGTCTCATCCTGAGCACGTTTTTCTTCATTTTTCAGCTCCAGTATAGCTGTATTTTTCATTGCAAAGCTGTCCTCAATTGTTGTGTTCATTGTTCAAACGAAGTGGGCATTCAATCAAGAAGGCAGAGGACATAGGAGCCTGATTGGAGTTTCTCGTGGCATAGGACGGCCACACAGAGACACTTTGCGATGTTCTGAATATAAAATACCGTACGCACGATTCAGAGAACAATTTGGACGATATCAAATTGTTTGTGATCTACCACATCGAGCAGAACGGGATCCAAACACAAGCTTACCGACGGTTAGGCTGCCGACCTGACTGGACAAATGATCCCTGGCTTCACCAGACGCCAGAAGCCGGAAACCATGTCCTTTGTCCATCTCCAAAAAGAACTCCATCTTCGTCGTGAAAAGGCTTGAAATACTCAATATTCAACCGAGATTCGCAGTCTCACGCTTTTTCAGATCGAATCATTTTTTGTTGTAGCAGTTGCAGGGCAGATCCCCGCCACTACTTCAACAGGGTTTTGCTTCACAGCATGCCTGGAACAAGCCATATCGAGGTTGCAAGCTACCCCTCTCAGCAAGAAATTCGAAATTTCAATGGTGGAAGGTGTACTACGAAGAGAATTTCAAAAGGTATGGTTCGCGGCGCGATCGTTCAACCTACAACATTCAAACTTTGCAGGATGGTTCTGACCTACATGCTAGGCATGGAACCACAGGGTTTGATGTCATCGCTGACACACAAAGTCACACACACAGCACATTCGTGTGCACAGATACTAAATTAGTGGACGCCGTCATCTTCTTCCCGCTGGTCTCAAATGTACTATGATGTGCTATTTCGCCTGACGACACGCGTTCACTACTATGGAGGACATGTGCACCCGCCATATTATACACAAACTGTACGAAAGGCACTGAAACTACCGGACCAATAAAAACTGCTTCCGGCGGCCCTGAAAGTTGAAATAAAATTGTCTGAAAGCCTTGCAAATTGTATGCAATGATGTGTGCAGATTTGCATTGCAGTCCAATTTTCCAGTCGACTAGCAGCTTGCAAAACTATGGCAAAACAAGGGCCCGTGAAGGCATGCCCTCTCGTATTCAGCACCAGAGAGAGTTGTGTGGGCGATCAGTCACACAAATGAGTGCTGGATGGATTTATGGCAGGTTAGATTGGACAGGCAGATAGACGAACGACCAGTAGTAGATGGATGGATGGATGGATGGGTGGGTGGGTGGGTGGGTGGATGGATGGATGGGTGGGTGGGTGGGTGGGCGGGTTGATGGATGGATAGATGGATGGGTGGGTGGGTGGGTGGGTGGATGGATGGATGGGTGGGTGGGTGGATGGGTGGGTGGGTGGGTGGGCGGGTTGATGGATGGGGGTGGGGGGTGGATGGATGGATGGATGGGTGGATGGATGGGTGGGTGGGTGGGTGGATGGATGGGCGGGTTGATGGAGGGATGGATGGATGGATGGGGGTGGGGGGTGGATGGATGGATGGATGGATGGGTGGCTGGGTGGGTGGCTAGGTGGCTGGATGGATGGATGAATAGATGGATGGGGAGATAGATGGGTGGATGGATGGATGGATGGGTGGATGAATGGTCGAACGAGTGGATGTACACTTTGTGACGGTGACTGGATTGGTTGGTGGTGGTGGTGGTGGTGGGGGGGGGGGCATATTTATACCGGGATGGCTGGGTTGGAATGGGAAGAAGCAGGATGAATTAGTTGGTGTGTGCATGGTTCCAATGAAACTGGATAATGAGTGTAAACATGAAGTAGGCTTCTCCCCCTGGCCCCCGCCACACGACAACGAGAACTCTTGATCATATCTGCAATACTTAGATTGTACCAAGAAATGACGAGGGCGCAGGAGGAGAGAGACAAACTTGGAGACGACAAAAAGGACAACGGGAAGACTCCCGGGAAAAGACTCAAAGAAAACAACAAGAACAAGCAGTAATATTGCGACGACAAATCGGGACGACCAATCAGGGACCAATACGTACAGAACACATGACCAAGACCAAGACAACCAGACCACGGACAAATCACACACGACTCTCATTCCCAGACCAAACTAGCACTGCGCATGTACAGCATTCGCTTGACAGTCCCTCTCACACAGACGGAAGCACATCCTCACACTCTGACAACGCGTACTCTTGCATGCACCACATACCATAAACGTCACACATCACACCATACTCGCGCGTACACCTAGACCATATATGACATCAGACACTGGACTCCACCAGACAAGAACCAAATACAACAACATGCGTAAATCATAGTCGTAACATAAATTCGTAACAAACATGTACTTCCTACGGAAACCAAAAAACCCCAGAATAGTACCATCTCACGCATCCAGACCAGACGACACTTCACATAAGGTATCAAGCATCTTTGTTCCCTTCTCTTCAACATTTATACAGAGAATGACTGAAATGAAAATGACTACAATATGAGCCGTCAGATGCGAAAAGGGTGCTTATGGCATCACAGAGCAAATAGAGTAAAGACTTTTAAAGTGCGTCAGAGTGACAGGCTGTCAAGTACCTGTCACATGCATGAGTGAATCTTGATGTGACGTCATTTTTTCGATCGTTGCGGGATGAGTGTGCATCCCCCGGCGGTGGTATGTACACTATCGCACTGCTGAGACTCCCAGCTTTTCGTAGATACTTCAACCGGCCTGAAACTCCAAAGCACGGCGGATTTACATACGAAAAAACAGCCTTTATTGTGGCGCACGAGCTCCGTTCTGATTCTGAACGAAATTCTTTTGTCTCCTGACCTAAATTGACGATATCTTCATGATGGGTTTGGATTTTTGAGTCCGTTTTTTTGGAGGTGAAGCATAAAAGCCTATAGATTTTGCTTGAGTCCTTATCTCAATTTGACCAAAATATGCCATAAGCACCCTTTTCGCATCTGACGGCTCATATGTAGAGCGTAAATGTACTGAGATACAACACTCATGACAAGGTAGATATTAGAGCGGTTGCGCTCAACGAAAATTCGTAAGATTTCGACCGTCCGGGTTCGAGTAACGAAAGTTGCAGCGAAGATCCATCCAAACGCGACCGAAACAGAGCAGATCTACGAAAATAATTTTTGTAACGTGGAGTACTAAAATTCTGATATATTACAACTCAATGTCTTGACTCTCTGTACCCGCGCGCGTGCGCGCGCCTTGTCGACCTACTACGAAAAGTTCACACGTTGTGCGCAACCTCACGATTTACGAATATTCATGTTAGATAATCACGACCGCCCCAACTCACTCCCGGACACGCACTCACAACAACGTCCACAACGAGTTCTTTGGCGAACAGTGTTCATATAATTATTGGAGAAGAAGCAGAGAATGTGGGAGAGCGAAAAACACAAGTTTGTTCCACGGCCAACTCTAAAACTAACTGGAACTGATGTAGTTCTTCGTTGTATGCACTGTACACATGAGAGCACGCCAGTTGCATGCCAGCGCGCAAGCGAGCAATGAACATGAAACGGACACCAGAAGTAAAAGGATCTGGCGGTGACACAAAGTCAAAGGGAATGTATTACATGTCGGGAGACCATCAATGAGCCATGGTAGCCGGCGGGTGCAACAAGGAATGTAAGATAGAAGTTAGAGCAACGAATACCATGCATACTCTCACATCACCCCTTAGTGACTCATGTCACTACCGAATAGCTACAACATAATCATGAATAACGAGCAGGTCGCACGAGCATAGACCGGTCGCGCAATGATGGGCCTGCAGCAGGCGGCGGCGTGACCGGGTCAACGCTCAATACCAGAGACGGAACAGGGCCCGACTCGGCTTCATCGCTGGCACCCGGAGCGACGGGCGACGGGGGCGGCAGATCGTCCTCGGCGGCACGCCTTAATAAGTCGACATTCACGATCTTGTCACGGCCGGTGCCGTCGACCCGATGAACCACCACCGTCGAGGGGCCCACGATCGACATAACTTGTCAACCAGGCTCGTACGGGGTTAGGCGCTTCTGGCAGCGCTGAGGCCGGCGAAGCATGACAGCATCGCCAACAGTCAAGCGGCTCGGTGTCGGCTCGTCGATGAAGTCGAAGCGGCCGAGCGCAGACTCGATGTAGTCTCGCATCGCCGCTGCCCGCTGCTGGAGGTCGTCTACCCATGAGCCAGCTGAATACGAGTGCTGAGGCCGATCCACG